ACATAAGTTAAAACAAATCACTATTAACGCAATCCTTAGCCCCTAACATTCGCATCTATCACTGTGCTTCTATTCAATTCCATCCAACGGCAATTACAGGTGGGCCTAAATTCATCGTGCGCGTCCGTGCGCGTCGATCCTGCTCGGAGCAACTTACCGCACTGGCTGATATCGCTCGCGGCTGGCTTCAGTGCGCGGCTCCTGAGTCCCGTTACGGCTAGCCCAGCTGATAGCCAACCGGTTCTCCGCTGCGGACGGGACGAAGAAACGAGGAGCGTATTGTATTTATTTCATTTACTCATTTAATTGACACTTCAACGCAATGTCTACTGATGTGAAGGATAAACTGATTGCTAAACGAGCGTCTATCAAAGGACGCCTTACCAAATTTAAATGTTATTTAGAGAATGTAATAACTTGAGGAGATAATATATCTGAAATTGAACTCAGTAAACTTGCAAAGAAGTTGTCACGAATAGAAACATTAATCATTGAGTTTGAGGATTTGCAAGGCCAAATAGAGATCTTAAACGCGTCTACCTTAGATAACGAGTTAACAACGCGTGATTTAATTGAATCAGAATTTGATTACTGCATTTCTTTTGCTCAAGATTTTATAAAAAAACGTAGCCAGCCTTCCAAACAGGAAAATGATAATTTTTCAAGCTGCAGCAACGCCTGTTCGCATCACAAACATAGCCCTTGTGGCGAAAGTTCCAGCTTTAAATTGCCTATTATAAATATCCCTAAATTCGATGGCATGAATTATAAATGGTTGGAGTTTAAAGAAATATATTATTTATTAATTCATGACAATACCAAAATAGACGACGTACATAAGTTCCACTATTTAAGCTCCTATCTGGAAGGCGAGGAAGCTCGCATTCTTAGCAACCTCGAGGTATCAGCTAAAAATTATTTAGAAGCTTGGGCACTCCTGTGCAATCGTTACGACAACAAAAGGTTATTGATCAATAATCACTTAAAGTCCCTCTTTAACATACAAGCGGTTAAGGAAACTGACAAGTCTCAAGATTCATTATTTATCATGTGAACAAGAATTTGCGTGCCCTAAACACTTTGGGATTACCCACCGATCAGTGGGATGTTTACTAATTATTCACATTTTAACTACGAAGTTAGACAACAGTACTATATTTAAGTGGGAAGAGCATCGAAATAGTTTACCGGAAATACCTGTTCTCAATGATTTCTTCAATTTTCTCAAGAATAGGGCAGATGTTATAGAAACGGTCAATCGAAATAAAATTGATAAATTGAAAATGTAATTCAATCACCTCAAAGCAAAATGCAAACTAAGTCTTTTATTGCGACTTCAAGGGAAGCTCTTCCTACAACTAGGTCCAATTTTAATTGCAATTTGTGCAAAGGCAAACATCGCCTTTACGAATGCATTTCCTTTAAGTCTAAGACTCCTGAAGAACGGATTTCTATAGTCACTGATTTAAAATTATGTCACAATTGTTTGAAACCTTATCATAACACGCAATTTTGTAAACTGCCTGGTTCTTGTCGCACATGCAAAAGGAGACATAATTCTTTGCTACACTTGCCAAGCGAGAATTCTCCTAAGCCCCACCACTTCTGCATCTGTTACAACGATGTCTACATTTTGTTGTTCAGTCTCAACCTTCTAATGTCAATATTATTGCTATAGGTAATAATTCATTGAATTTAAGCCTAGAACGTTGCACTTTAGATTTGCATTCTCTTACCACCAATTTAAAACTACTGTGAATTGTCTTGTGTTGGAGCACATCACTGAACAGGTGCCTAAGTTTCCACTTGACATAAAACATTTAAATCTAACTAATTTTGAACTAGCCGATCCCAGCTTTAATGAACCATCCGCTATTGATATGCTCATCGGTGCTGACCTATTCTGGAATTTAATAGGCACTAAAAGGCACTCTCTAGGATCAAACAACTCTAATCTTCAGAGCTCTAAACTCGGATGGATCATAGCAGGTCCCATGCCCACCATTAAAAAACAAATCACTCAGAACGAGTCTAGACTTTGTAATTTTTTAACTAAAGACGAAATTTCATTGACTATTGACAAACAATTAGCCAATTTTTGGGAACTTGAAAAAATATTCCCACTAGTCAGCCCTATAGTACTGAAGAAAGGCAATGTGAAGAGCTTTTCCTCTCCCAAACTACAAGAGAAAGTGATGGTCGTTTTTGTGTAGATCTACCACTAAAGGACTCGATAGAATGTCTAGGTGAATCTTACTTCTTTGCTAAATCACGTTTTCACAACCTAGAGTTACGTTTTCGTAAGAACCCAGAGCTTAAAACTCTTTACTCACTGTATATACATGAATATGCCGAGCTTGGTAATCTCAGCTATTTGTCTGAAGAGAAATCTCCCAACTCTTATTTTCTCCCTCACCAACCTGTCATGAGAGAGAAGAGTGAATCAACCACACTTCGAGTGGTGTTTAACGCCTCTCAGCCTACTACTTCTGGTTTCTCTATAAATGATCTCCAGATGATAGGGCCAACCATCCAAGATTCCCTATTTAATATTTTGCTGCGTTTTTGTCAACACAAATACATCTTGTCTGGAGATATAGCTAAAATGTACAGACAAGTGCTAATTTGTGAGCCTTATCGGAATCTCCAACTTATACTATGGCGCGACAATGTAGACGAGCCATTTCGTACACTACAGCTGAACACAGTAACATATGGTTTCGCCAGTGCAGATTTTCTCAGTACCCGATGTATGTGGCAAATCGGGACTGAATGTGATGACCCTAATATTAAAACCATCATCCAAAATGACTTTTACTGTGATGATCTTCTAACAGGGGCTGAGACAAAAGATGGATTATGTTACATTCAACGCGCTGTTTCCAACGAACTTTCCAAGGGTTGCATTCCCTTAAGAAAATATAAGTCTAATTCACCTAACCTTCTCCTTTCTCTAAATACAGAGGAAACAAATCTAATTATTAGCAACTCTAGCAATACACTCGGCCTCGGTTGGTCACCGACAACAGATGAAATTCATTTTCCAATTGATAATTCTAAGGCTAATATCAATAACAACCTAACAAAAAGGTCTATTTTATCATCTACCTTTCAAATATTCGATCCTCTTGGCTTATTAACACTTTGCACAATAAAGGCAAAATACTATTGCAAAAATTATGGATCAAAAAACTAGATTGGGATGAACTAGTTCCTCCTTCCATTCAGCAACCTTGGCTTAAATTCAGCAAAAAACTTAACGTGATTTTTGATTTAAAAATTAATCGACATGTGTTAATTAGCGAGTAAATTCACATTGAACTGCCTTGTTATTGCGACGCCTCCCAACATGCATATGGTTGTTGTATTTACATTAAATCTATTGACAAAAAATTAAATGTCAAGGTGAGCTTACTTTGCGCCAAAGCTCGAGTTGCTCCTATAAAGGCTTGCACTATCCCGCGGTTAAAGCTTTGTGCCACACTTCTAGGCGCTCAGCTAACTTCCGCTGTTAAATGGGCTCTAAGACTAAAGATAAACAAAGTTATAATTTGGACGGACTCTAATGTAGTGTTAGGATGGCTGAGGATACCTAACAAAACTAAAATGTTTGTAGCCAATATAATCGCCGCTATCATTGACATTTCAAATCCTGAAGCTTAGCGCTACGCACCCTCACCTCAAAACCCTGCTGACCTTGCTTCACGAGGAATTGACCCCCAAGAAGTTATTAATGCTCACATCTGGTGGCAAGGACCCCCCTTTCTCAAAGAATCAGAGTCAGCATGGCCATTAGCTTCAAACAAACAAGTAGACTTACCTGAAATGAAAGTCTTACCTGCTTTGGTGGCGAAAGATAAAGCTGCTACAACAGCAGTCGACTTTAACAAATTTTCCAGCTTAAATAATGTTTAAAGAACCTATGCTTGCATTTTTAGATTCATTCATAATTGAAAGAAGCCCAAAAATAAACAAGTAGGACCTATACAAGTCCAAGAGCTTAATAAATCTCTGATCACACTGATTAAATTAGCCCGAGCAGAATCTTATCCAAAGGAAATAAATTATTTATTAAATAATAAATATCTAAAGGTCAATAACACTCTCAATTCATTAAATCCGTTTTTAGATGATGCAAAAGTTCTATGCGTAGGAGGGCGCATAAATCACCCTTATGATAAAAGACATATTTATTAAGAGATATTGTTATCAACGCTACTCATGGTTTAACTAAATTAATGTTTCAACATCAACACTTGCAATTATTTCACGCAGGTTCTCAAATGCTACTAGCAGCCATAAGGCAAGAATATTGGCCTATAGGAGGTCGGAAACTAGCTAGAGATGTTGCACGTAACTGTTTAGTATGTAGCAGATTTAAGGGAAAAACTATGAGCAATATAATGGGTAATTTACCAGCTGATGGCGTCGAGCCCGACTTCCCCTTTAGAACTGTTGCAACAGATTTCGCCGGCCCCTTTCTTATCACGAATCAAAAAGGCCGTGGGTGCAAAATAACAAAGTGTTACTTATGCGTTTTTGTGTGTTTTAGATACAAATGCTTACACTTAGAACTTGTCAGTGAACTAACCAAAGATGCCTTCATTTTAACCTTGAAGAGATTCATAGCTCATAGAGGATTGCCTAATCGTATCTATTGTGATAATGGGAGAAACTTTGTAGCAGCTTCAAAGGAAATAGGGCAATTTTTAAAGACAAATAAAGACTCTATTTGGGACTTTGTTGCTCGCCAATCTATTGAATTTCGTTTTTCGCCTGCGTACGCTCCTCATTTCAATGGTCTGGCGGAGGCTGGTGTAAAGTCAGTCAAGTTTCATCTTCTTAAATTTCTAGGCCATTCCCATCTAACATTTGAAGAGTTGGCTTCCGTATATACACAGATAGAAGCTATACTAAACAGCCTCCCCCTATGTCCTTTCTCCCCATCACCTAATGACTTCCAGTCACTCACCCCGAGTCACTTTTTAATCGGTAGGCCGATGACTTCGCTACCCTCACCGAACTACGTGGACGTCCCCACTCACCGTCTCGACCGCTACAAGCGCCTTGAGCAAATAAGGCAACATTTTTGGAATAGATGGTCAACTGAATACATGGCTGAACTTCAACAAAGAACCAAGTGGAAGTCAGTATGTGAACAACTTCAACAAGGTGATCTTGTTATCATAAAGGAGCAACATACTCCACCACTGTGCTGGCGTCTCGGACGAGTTGACAAACTGTATCTAGGATCCGATGGCATCGCCAGGGTTGCCGATGTCAAAACTGCCAACGGCGTGGTTCGCCGTGCACTCAACCGCCTCTGCAAGCTGCCTGATTCCGAAGCCTAGCCTACTAAACAATGATGCTTGAAATCCCAAGAATTCAATGGCCGGTGAGGATGTCTACGGCCCTAAAAAATAACATTCCATCGCCACAGCCAATCAAGAAGGCTCGCAAAAAAGGAACCAGATGTCGCCACCGTGCCTGCCAGCGCGATATACGCATTTAGTTCCTCCTCACATAGGCTCAGGCCCATAATAATTGCAATATTTCTTTTTATTTTCCAAATTATCAATACTTCATCTATTTTTGTATAAAGATACTTTCTGAAAACAAGTAAATATTGTGTAAACAGCAAGAAACTAGTATTTCCTTTGTTCCCATCGTGAACAATATATATATACATAGTTCATAATCATTTTAATCCTATTGCCAGCTTTACCCAGTGTCGACGAAAGTGGCAATCTGGTCTCGCCGTGATCATTTTTGAAATGCTGTTGTTACTGTTTCGCAGACGCTCTAACATTAAGCCTGATTTCTTTCCCATAACAGCATGAAATCCATCAGTCCTAGCATCCGCGAACATTTTCGAAGCACTACAGCGCCATGGCAGTCCCAACAGCATTCTAAAAGCATTATCGTATTGAATGCGAAGAGCGTTGTTAGCTCGTCCCCTGTATGATACCCACAGGCTACTCGAGTAAAAATATTGGCAAAATGCTTTGAAAAGAGTGACTTTCACGTCATCTGTACATCGAGTAAACCTGCGGGCAAGCATATTGCTCCAAACTGCCAGTGTTCTACTCTCCCTCTCTATCATCGCTTAAATCACTCCTTATAATGTGACCAAGATACTTAAATGTATTAACAATATTTATACGAACGGAACACGATGCAGCAGCTGTTTTGGTGCAATAAAACAAGAATTTCATTCTTTTTCGAGTTATACTTCAAGCCGTGGTCCTCCGCATATATCTCGCAAAGATACAATAATTTCTAAAACTAAAATGATATACGTTAGCTCGAGTCAAAATAGATTAAAATATAACTTTACTCTTATAGCTCATAATCACACATGTCTTCATAATATCCAGAGTTCAGCCCATAATAACAACTGTGAATGTCCTCAAATTGAAATAGTATAAAAATGTAATTATTTAGGTTTAATAGTTGATGATCGTATGAAATGGACTGATCACGTTGAATCTGTATGCGATAAGCTACGAGCAACCCTAGCTAAATTTTATTTCATCAAGAGTAAAGTACCATACCAGATGTTACTGTTACCATATAACGCACTCCACAAATCAATAGTTTCTTACGGGTTTGAACAGTTAAGGACGCACTTATAAAATCCACCTTGAATAATTAAAAATTAAAAATTTTGTACAACCGACTTCAATATAAGTTATTAAGAATAACTAAAATAACTCAAAAACTATTGGTCTGACCTTGATCAAATTCATACGGGACTACATGAGAAGTATCAGCTTTCATATAAAGAAAGACTCGTCGAAATCGGTTCAGCCAGTACAAAATTATGAGGTAACACACATAAAAAAAACATACGCGTCGAATTGAGTACCGTCTCCTTTTTGGAAGTCGGCAGAAAAATATACGAGCTACAATTGCAAACCTGTATTCTCAAAGTAAAAGATGAATGTAAAAAAAATCCTTATGGTCTTTTCCATCATTGCGAAATACTACCAGTATACGACAAAGTCAAATAACTATTGTCACTTGAAAATTATGGCAAGGAAGGATTCAAAATTAGCCATATACATAGCTTACTCGACAAGTGCTCAATCCATATATGATTATCCCAAAATACAAAAATTTGTGTAAGAATATTTAGATTACAATATCAAATTCCCGCTTTATTGATTCAAAACCAACAAAAAATGAACTAACTGAAAAAATATTAAATATATGCTTAAACAGTATTTTATCGACAAATTGTTAACGATACCGACTAATAACTTTATCAACTAATAAATTTAATAACTGCTCCCGATAACAATGAATGTTCTTCAAGAAAGGTGACAACGCTCTCTTGAAGAACTACAGACTGATTTCCCTTCTGAGCCGCGTCTACGTGCTGTTTTCGAGAGTCATTACGAATCGTCTCGCGCGCAGACTTGACGACTTCCAGCCTCCCGAACAAGCCGGTTTCCGAAAGGGCTTTAGCACCATAGACCACATACATACCCTTCGGCAAGTTGTACAGAAGTCCGAAGAGTACAATTTGCCACTATGTCTGGCGTATGTGGACTATGAGAAAGCCTTTGATTCCGTCGAAATTTGGGCGGTGCTGCAGTCCCTTCAGCGGTGCCAAGTTGACTGTCGGTATATCGAAGTGTTGAAGTGCTTGTACAGTAGGGCTACGATGGCTATCCGAGTACAGAACCAGAGTACGAAACCTATCCAATTGCAGAGAGGTGTAAGACAGGGTGACGTCATATCCCCGAAACTCTTCACCGCTGCATTGGAAGACGTTTTCAAGCTTCTGGACTGGAAAGGATACGGTATCAACATCAATGGCGAGTACATCACTCACCTTCGATTTGCCGACGATATAGTCCTTATGGCAGAATCGCTGGAGGACCTAAGCACTATGCTCAATGACCTCAATAGTGTTTCCCAACGGATAGGTCTTAAGATGAACATGGACAAAACTAAGATCGTGTTTAATGTCCATGTCACACCTATGCCGGTAGTTGTTGGGAACACTAAGCTCGAAGTTGTTGACGAGTATGTTTACCTGGGACAAATAGTCCCACTGGGTAAGTCCAACTTCGACCGAGAGGTCAATCGACGGATTCAACTCGGCTGGGCAGCGTTCGGGAAGCTACGACACATCTTCTCGTCAGACATACCTCAAAACCTTAAAACGAAATTGTACAACCAGTGCGTGTTGCCAGTGATGACTTACGGAACTGAGACGTGGTCCTTCACTGCTGGCCGTATGAGGAAGCTCAAGGTCGCTCAGCGAGCTATGGAGAGGGCTATGCTCGGAGTTTCTCTGCGTGATAAACTTAGGAATGAGGATATCCGCAGTAGAACCAGAGTGACCGACATAGCCCAACGGATTAGTAAGCTGAAGTGGCAGTGGGCCGGCCATATAGCTCGAAGAACCGACAACCGATGGGGAAGAAAGGTTCTCGAGTGGCAGCCTCGTACCGGTAGGCGAAGTGTAGGGCGTCCCCCCACGAGATGGAGTGACGACCTGGTAAGACATGCAGGAAGTCGATGGATGCAGGTGACTCAGGACCGTGTTTTGTGGCATTCTTTGGGGGAGGCCTATGTTCAGCAGTGGACTTGTGAAGGGCTGTAATGATGATAATAATGACCGACTAATAATTTATACAAAAATATAAAACTATATCCACTAACACATCATAATATACATAAATAAAATTTTACTAATAATTATTTACATAGATACACAAAAATATATCATTATTATCTCAATTACTAACTTTCATTTAACGTACCTACTAACTATATTTTGCTTTGGTACACACCTAGTTAAAAAAACAAAAAACATCTTGCTGTTTTGTCACATAATTTATATACGTCATTAAATACATTTTGAAAAACTATTTATTTTGGGTACTCATACAGGTACAGGGAGGATAATTTCTTTTACCCGTCTATTTCATCGTATGCGGTATCGCTGGATAGATCTTTCAAAAATATTGGAGGTATGGAACAACATTTTTTTCAATTCAGGGGTCCGTTTGCGAAATACTTGGCTTTAAATTATGCGAATCATGCGAAATATTTAACTTACCAGGGCGTTAAAGCCCTATGACGGAATCAGTGGATACTCAGTCCAACAGAACGGATACCTTAAAGCGTCTCCCACACACAAGCGCCTTGCGGTGGCGGCTAACAGAGAGCCGCGGCACCAGCCCCTGCAACAAGACACCACCGCGGTCGCAGCGGCGGCCTGAAGCGCCATTCGCTGTGGTGTCTGTGCTACGATTGGACGTCAGTAAATATACGTGATAGAGCTATGCTGCAGCTATATTAGAAATATAGATGTAGCACGAATGGGTCGGCTCGGCCGGGGACGGACAACGCTCTCACAGAATACCAGCGTAAAATAGCAGCTTAACACTGTTGTGTTTCGTATAGTGAGTGTAGAGACCCTTTTTACTGGAAAAGAGGCGTTTCTCTTAGTCCTCACGGGTGACAACACATCTGCAGTTTGATTCTTTATTGAGGATAGATGTAGATGTCTATCCTCAATAAAGAATCAATCACAGCAACTAATTACCATCAGGTGGGCTGTGTGCTCGTTTGTCACCATATCCTATAAAAAAAAAACATGGCTAACCGTGACGAAGTTTTATTATATTTAGCAATATTATCATATATTTTGTTTTTAACCCTAATGCTTTTGTAATCACGATGCGAATTACCATAAAGTACTGAATAAATTTGCACAAATTTTCACGCAGTACACGCGGCCTGTTGTAAAAATTTGCAACAGACCTCGCTGCGGCCATCGACTGACCGCGTACTCGCTAAAACATACGCGTTGGCGGAAGGGGCGGAGTATGCGGCCGCGGCCAGCTGCTCGCAGATCACGAAATTTTCGCACAAGTTTGCAGACTCACTTACTTCGCAAGCGAATACAACTCGCCGCCACCGCGGCCGCCACCGCAAGCCGCTTCTGTGTGGGAGACGCCTAAATCGTTTCCCTAAGATAAGAGAGTCACAACTACAACGGTTACAGAACAATAAATCTTGAGTTTTAATGTGACGATAGAAGAATATATTTATATTGAATTGAATTATTATATTAAATAAAATATATTATATAAAATTGAATATAAATAAATATCACTGTTTTAAGAAAAATCTATTAAAAGGAACGTAGAAATATAAGTTGTTCCTGACAATAAAGCAAACAACTTCATCAATATTAACATCACATTTATCTTCATTTTTTTGCGAGTTTAAATATCTGAAATATTAAAAATAAAGATTTCAAGCAACAACTACAATTGAGGTTATTGTTTTCGATGAAATTTATACTTCTTAAGCTACTCTTACCTACTACTTAGGTATCAAATTTGAAATGAAATATTAAGTGCCATTTTGAAATGCGAGAGTTACGGCCAAAGCCAAAATGAACCCCCTACCAACTAAACCTATATTTTTGAAGTGTGAAAAGTATGCGTGATAGTAGTATATTGTAATTAAATTAAAAGGAAAACTATCACATCTAAGTAGGCTTAACAATTTAACGAGTATATATAATTACATAATTTTATAGTAGTAGTAATAAAATATATAGCTAACTATATAATCCAGTTAATAATTATAATAAAGTCAATCTTATTTAATCATTCGGTTGTTTTACTCATCTCCTGACATTCGGTCTACAATTTATTTATTTATTTTTTAAACTTCACATAACCTTACCACAGTATGGTATTAAAAGGCAGACTTAACGCTAAAAGCATTCTCTGCCAGTCAACCTTAGGGCAGTGATTATATTACGAAAGCGGTTACAAAAAACAATATATAATACAACGAACAGAGGTTACCTGCAGAGTTTCTTCTGCCGTTTCTCGTACGAACAGAAGAAACTCCTTTTAAAACGGTAGTAGATTTAGTTGGTTTTAAAAAAGAACATTTAACAAACAGAATTTATTTTCGAACGTCAAAGAAAAAATATATTTAAGTTACTTACGCAAATGATATTAGTATTATCTTATAAAACCCCGCTTAATATGTATTAAGTTCTACTGCAGATTATTTCTTTTCTAAATTCTGAGACAATTTTGAAAGATGCAGGAATAGTTCCTTTAATTTAATAGACATACAAATTTCCTCGCAATGTCTCTTATCAGCAGTTAAAAAGCAATTTACAAGGAGCTGATGAAAATCTAACTCTGGTAACTTGCGTACTCTATTCCCTAAGTCGTGCTATATTATAATAAATAACGTTCTAAACGAAATCTAACAAAATAAAGAACGAAGACTTCACACGGCCTCAATTCTATGCAACGCATGTAAAAGATAACGGTGTGCAACAGTCCATTATTAAATAAAGGAACGTCATATATAACAAATAACCAAAAAAAAAAATACAGGGCATTCTCTTAAAATTAAACTCGCATTAAGATTCTTTCAATAAGAACTTTCGAATACCCATACAATAGATTGGTATAAACTTGTCCCATTCAATGTGTGTTGGATCAAAAGGAAACTCGAGGCGATCTGAAACCGACAATGAAGAAAACAGATCACGAGTGCGTTGACACTTCATTTGCCAGGAATGCGAGGTGAAGTACTGTAGAGTACTACATATAAGTGCTATCCTTGCCTGCATCTTCATGAACCTGTTGATAAGGTAAAATTATTTGAGTCATGTAAACTTACTCTGAGGCTTTTATATGTGTCAGGGTGGCAAACAAGTTGACCATCCATCTGATAGTAATTGAATAATGTGGTCCATAGACACGTACATCTATCAACGACTACGAGCTCGCTAACAGGAAAAATATAAACTTGCACTATATGACAGCATGGTCCTTCCCCGGTCGAGTGACCTATTGTTTCTGCAGCTATTTTGGAGATATAACTTCTGTACACGCCCCTAGCTGTCCCGACAAAGGTCGATCACTCAAGGGCCCATAGCTGTAGACTCGACGAACAATTAAGGACGGGGCCGAATGGCCTGGTGGAAATGTTCTAAAACTAACACGAATTACCGATGAGTTGGTACAGCTGTAAAAAGCAGTAAATATTTTTTGCGTTACATTCAAACGGAGAAACTTTAATTTTGACTCTTATCTTTTAAACTATATGGTTTAATCAGCAAATTTTTCTTTATTAAATCCACTCATGGATTTTAAAAATGAACAAACCAGGTCAGCGTAATATCTTGACCGAAATATCTTTACTAACTAAACAGAGATGACGATGACTGCCCTGTTAATATTGTTTCCATTATTAACTGCATTGTAATGCATTAAAGATCAGCTTTTGGAACGAATATATTGTCATTTACCGATCGTTTGTAGCCTCGTTCGTAGGTTAGCAGGGTGTACAAGATAGGGTCCGCTTGGTTTTGGTAAAATTAGTTGCAGTATGCTAAGTTCCCATCTACAATTTGTAATTAAAGTAGTTTTGCGGATTTTTTGTGTTTCATTTAAACTTTTTCACTTCCCGAAATTTCGGACGCTTTACAGCACCCAAGCGTAACGTTTTGCGTGAAACAAGACCAAAATCGGGGAGGGGGGGGGGGATTTTTCCTCCTTTCTCGCCACACATTGGATGCTGTAAATTGACCAAAACATTGATAACTGACCAAGTTAAAATTAAACGCGACGAAATCCGTAAACTTTGTTATATATAACGTTGATCTATTCTTCTTTCAGCCTCTATTAAACGCCACTGCTGTACATCCTTTCAAGACAGTCTCATCAGACATAACTTCTTGAAAAATCGGCAATGCATATGGCGCCATATATTGTGGGACTTTTAGAAGACTTTGAAAAAAGAAGGATATATAAGTTTAACTGTATGCCCTATTTTGTATGTATGTTACTTGATATCTTAGTCAGTTTTGGATTAATTTTTATGAAATAGGCCATACTTTGGGAGGTCCAAGTATTTTATTTCTTTTATTTATTTGAAGTAATCTTTTACTTTTTGAAAAAAGTTTATTTTCATTTAGACTTTTAGCATAGATTTGCCGTCAACAGATGGCTGTTAGAGCCCCACCTACCAAATAGCACTTAAAATAAAATTCAGCCGAAATAGTATTGAACTGACTCAAAACAATGTCAAAATAAATACATACCTGGGTGGCTTTCCCATTAAACGTAGCCAGCAATCACCAATGAAAGCTGGTATCGTTTGCATGATTAATGTTACAATGTTTAACAACCATTTTGACTGTGTAAATAACAATGTTGGGCAGATTATTTCATCTGGAAATAGAATTCATATATGAAGCATTTTAAAATAATCAAAGGTGATAAAAAAATACAATATAATATGGTTTTATATTGGTTTAACTGTAATATTAAAAAAAAACCTGGTTGGTCTCTAGCTGATTTATCATACCTACCACACATTTATTAAATTTATATTACAGTCTATCAAAAGTTGAAAGCGGGACATTGATCTCCCTTTAGATTGCCTCATTAGGGGGTAGTTAGTTAATTTCTACGCTTGGAAGATGGAGCAGCAGTTTTTTATGACTGGCCACGGGGACCTGGTTTATGACCAAGCCAGGACGTGTCGACTTAAGAGCGATACTACGTCCGGCACTGACGTCGAACAATAAGAAGATCTCAATTTACAAAACCTATATCAGAGTACATAGCGCCGGCGTGGTATGTATTAATCAGCACCTTACAACAGTTTCAAGCGCAAAGATATGATACTATCCGACCTAAGCTCCTGCGACCGCCACTCGAGTATTCGATAAACGTCTCTTAAATGTTTATAGAATAAAAAAAGTCGAGGATGGGCGATGACCCGACCGTCAAGAAAGCACTATTGACCATCAAATTATACTTTACATAGCAAGAATAGCCAAACAATTTATATAGTCCGCAAAACTGCGGCCCCAGTACATGGAGTTTGATGTCTTCAGAGATAAAGCCCACGTAAAGGAGATTTTCCCGAGGTGCGATACTCATTGAGGCGTTAAATTATAAGAAGGATGTCACCTTGGGAGATCAGAAATGTTTTTATAACCAAGAATTTTTATCAGGAATATGCTGCTGCCCATCTAAGTTTCGGAATAATAGTAGTAGTAAGGTAGTGAATTCTTCTACATTCTCCGTTGTCATTCCTTTTATTAAAAGTAGTAAATATAAATTAAATTGTTACATAGCATTAAAGAGTTTCAGAGTTTTTATGCCGGTTCTGTTTCTTCTGGGGTCTTGTTTTTTCGAACTGGTCATAGTCTGCAATTTATGTATGTAAAACGCCTATAGCAAAATATGTTCCACAGTTTGGCACAAAACATTTCTGATGTGTGAGGGGATCATGGAACAACTAGTCCACCGCGCTGTCCCAGTATGTGTTGAAGAACTTCACGTATCCTCTAAATACTCTCTACTTCTACTTGCATTTTTATTATGACGAACGTTTCCTTACGATGTTATCCTTCACTGCCGCGCACGTGGTTAAATCAGCACTTAAAAATGTTGCATTTAAACAATATGATCAATACCGACATCGTGAAATTTCTGGCGAATTTTTAGCTCCTGAGCTAACAGGAATTTTAGAATATAATTTTATACAAACTGTGGCTGTTTATGAATCGATGCGATATTTTTAATTAAACTTGACCATTTTTCTTTACAAACTTACGGAAATTGTGTTTCACGCTGTCTTCCGTAATAAGCCTATAAAGCTCACCAATTGTGAGTGGATTTGCGTCACTGGTACAACAGTTGTAGACAGTTACTTCTTTTGATCTGTAAAATAAAGATTCCTACTTTTTAGGAAGGGTATTGTTTCTGGAGCCAATGTATGAGTAATGTATTTACATATGTATGTATAAGTTAAGTAAAGTAACAGCCTATATACGCTCCACTGCAGGTCGTAGGCCTCTTATTTCTGAGAGGGTTGAGATGAGGTGCCCTAAGCAAGGAAATGTCCGCCGCGCTGCCCCAATGCGTGTTGGCGAACTTCACATGTCATCGATTATTTTTTCTCACTTCTCAGATATGCAAGTTTCCTTACGAACTTTTCCTTCACCACCGTGCATGTGGTAATCATCATCATTATCATTACAGCATTTCATAAGTCCACTGCTGAACATAGGCCTCCCCGAAGGAATGCCACAAAGCACGGTCCTAAGCCACCTGCATCCATTGACTTCCTGCATATCTTACCTGGTCGTAACTCCTTCTAGTGGGGGGACGCCCTACACTTCGTCCGCCGGTACGAGGCCACCACTCGAGAACCTTTTTTCCCCATCGGCTGTCGGTTCTTCGAGCTATATGGCCAGCCCACTGCTACTTCAGCTTACTAATCCGTTGGGCTATGTCGGTCACTCTGGTTCTACTGCGGATGTCCTCATTTCTAAGTTTATCACGCAGAGAAACTCCGAGCATAGCCCTCTCCATAGCTGGCCGAGCGACCTTGAGCTTCCTCGTCCGGCCAGCAGTGAAGGACCACGTCTCAGTACCATAGGTCTTCACTGGTAACACGCACTGGTTGTACAGTCTCGTTTTCAAGTTTTGAGGTATACCTGACGAGAAGATGTGCCGTAATTTCACTAACGCTGCCCAACCGAGTTGAATCCGGCGATTGACCTCTCGGTCAAAGTTGGACTTACCTAGTCGGACTATTTTTCCCAGGTAAACATACTCGTCAACAACTTCGAGCTTAGTGCTCCCAAGAACTACCGGCATAGGTGTGACATGGACATTAAACATGATCTTTGTTTTGTTCATCTTAAGACCTATCCGTTGGGAAACACTATTGAGGTCATTGAGCATAATGCTTAGGTCCTCCAGCGATTCTTCAATAAGGTATATATCGTCGGCAAATCGAAGGTGAGTGATGTACTCGCCATTGATGTTAATACCGTATCCTTTCCAGTCCAGAAGCTTGAAAACGTCTTCCAATGCAGCGGTGAAGAGTTTCGGGGATATAACGTCACCCTGTCTTACACCTCTCTGCAATTGGATAGGTTTCATACTCTGGTTCTATACTCGGATAGCCATCGTAGCCCTACTGTACAAGCACTTCAGCACTTCGATGTACCGACAGTCAATTTGGCACCGCTGAAGGGACTGCAGCACCGCCCAAATTTCGACGGAATACGCCAGACATAGTGGCAAATTGTACTCCTCAAACTTCTGTACAATTTGCCGAAGGGTATGTATGTGGTCTATGGTGCTAAAGCCTTTTCGGAAACCGGCTTGTTCGGGAGACTGGAAGTCGTCAAGTCTGCGCGCGAGACGATTCGTAATGACTCTTGAAAACAGCACGTAGACGCGGCTCAGAAGGGAAATCGGTCTGTAGTTCTTCAAGAGAGCGTTGTCACCTTTTTTGAAGAATAAGACCACCGCACTTCTGCTCCACGCCTCCGGTGTAATACCAATATGGAGGACGGAATCAAAGAGCCTCTGAAGGAATTCAAGTACCAGTTTTCCACCCGCTTTCAGAAGCTCCGCTGGAATTCCATCCTTGCCTGGGACCTTGCCGTTTTTAAGGTGCTGGAGAGCCATTCTAATCTCGCTCAGACTGACATCGGGGATATCATCGGAATAGTGTCGGATAAGACTCGCTCTTGGATCGTTACTCACACTTATATGTGGCTCCAACGATGATGTATACAGCTGCCCACAGAACCTCTCAATCTCACTCAAAATCTCAGGTGTCCCGGAAACGACGCTGCCACACTCGGTCTTCAGCTTTGACAGTTGGCACTTTCTGGCAGACAGATCTCTGGCAAAGACTTTGGAGCCCTGGTTCCGCTCGATTGCTTCTTCAATACGAGCAGTATTAAAGTTGAGTAAGTCCCGCCGCATGCATTTGGAGATCTGTCTGTTCATTTGCCTGTATGCTGTCAAATCTACTGAAGACTGCAGCTTCCTATCCCGGTCTAACAGCCATGAAATTAAGAGCGTGATCGGAGAGTTTTTGTGTTCTTCTGCGGCGGGTCTTGCAAAACTTAGCTTCGACCGCATGGACAGTTTCCACGAGCTTGTCAGTCATATCGTCCACTGCATTGAAATATTCTAGGCACTGAAAACGGTTTCGTAGCTCGAGCTGAAAGGTTTCGGGACTTTGGATTAGAGCACGAGGGGACGGAGCGTTGACTTCATTAGACGTGACCTCTCCAATTTCACGTTTAGGTTCAGTGGCCTCTCAACATTCGGTGATCGCTGCCGGTTTTCACCCTCGCGATCACTGAGACTTCACTGAACAGTTATCATCTGGTCGTCATAATGAAGTCAATCTCATTTTTTGTCGAACCGTCGGGGCTCAACCAGGTCCACTTTCTGTGGGGCAGCTTCTGGAAGTAAGAGTTCATCATAAAGAGTCCGTCTTTCTCCATGAAGTCGGCCAGCTGCTGGCCCCTTGGGTTCCGTTGCCCTATTCCGAAATTCCCTACTTTTAGCTCATTGTTCTCTCTTGTGCCTAGTTTTGCGTTGAAGTCTCCTATCAACACCGTATAGTGGGTTTTGGAGGAATGCATGGCTCTAGAGATATCCTCATACATTTCCTCCACCTCCTGATCGGGGTGTGCCAAGGTTGGTGCGTAGACTGTATGACCTTCAGCGAATACCGTTTGGTGATTCTGAGTATAAGGTACGCAACCCTCGTCGACACACTCCCGATCTTTACAACGTTATTAACGAGAGACTTGTGGACGATAAATCCGACACCTCCTTGGGACAGATGGTCGCCCTCCCGGTGATAGAACAAATTGCCGGATTCGAGGATTACCGTGTCCTCCCCCTCTCTTCGGACTTCGGATAATCCTATGATATTCCAGCGCAACTATCTCTTCCTCCAGCTTCAGGATCTTCTCGTCAGTCCTCAGGGTGCGTGCGTTATAATTTGCCAGGTCAAGTCGTCGTAGATGACAACCGAACCTCCACCGGAGATTCTTAGCACCCCCTGCCACGCCGTTACCATGGTCGCCACCGTAGCCAGGAATAGCGGGGCCGCCGGGGACTGGGGGCCCCGCTATTCCTGGCATGTGGTAAATTAGCACTTAAATGCAATTAACGATTTCTTTGGTGCCAGAGGGTATGCCAACCCGGGTTGATCGCGTACTGTGAAATTTACAGAGAGCTATTGGCCTCTCAGCTACTACGGCATATGTATGTTTGCATGTAGCTATTTTAGGATGTATGCTATGAGCCATATATGGCTTTTACGGTAACGACCAAGTAGCACACAAGTAGTATAACGAAGTGCTACAGCAGCCGCTTAGCAGGTATATGTAATAGAGTCATAATTAAATGCTACAGTATCGGTAGAGAATTCCGCATCGCTTCTATGTCACTGAAAAGGGCCCACTTTATACGTACGATATCGGCACGGTGAGTTTGTAAAGCGATACAAAGATGCATGTAATGTGATTTTTGGAGCTAAATGATAAATAAGAAGTTCTTGTGCCACCTTTAGAGAATTTGCACATGACTGCAATTCGTAACTAAAGGTAAAAGCATCTTAAAGGTATTTTTTTACATAATGAATATTCCTTTATACGAATGATAGTGATTTAAATAAAGCTAGTTTTACAGATTTTATCGAAAATATTAACTTATTGTATATTCTCACTAAATTCTAAAGACTTCAAGATACTGTAAGTTCGTACTGTGTAGATCGGAACAAAAAAAATAACAATTTTTAATCTGAAAGTAGCCGTGGTTAGCTATGACGTTGGGACGTCAAACACCTCAGTCCCCCCGTGACCATGGCTGCTGCAAAGTACTCGAAACATCGGGAATATAAAATAAGTTAATATACGCAATAAAATGCATAAAGCTAGTTTTATTTTAATGTGTAGTTTTTGCGTAAATATAACAAATCATAATCATATTGATAGTATATAAATGACAAATATTATTTCAAATTGCTCGTGATGATGTGTTATGGTGGTAAATAAACAAGATAAAGATTTTTCACTTGTTAATGTAGAATTTTTGTGCGAGCATCAGTTTTCTGTCAAAATATGCATTAATTAAGCTAAATCTTTAATCCGTAGGTACGTGAAACCTGTGAAATTTTCTGTAATAATTTATCATACTATAAAATGCATTAAAATATTAAGGTTATTTTGCAATTTCTTTTCTATTGAGTTATTTTCAGGTCTCATAGTATTAATAAGTATATTTATAATTCGACTTTATATCCAACCCCTGTACAAAAGCTCTACAAACCCATTTTTTAACTCTCAAGTCATTCTCGTCACTAAAAAGCGCCTACTTTATAACTCTGCTTTTACAGAGATTTCTTGTATAAAATATAAGATAGAAGGGATATAAGAATCTGTTATATAATCGGTTAAGAAAAATACAAACTTCCTTAAACAGCTGTCAAGAGAGCGATACAGTGTCTGCTTATATTGCTTGTGTGCTACTTGGGTTGTATAAGGATACTTATCTCCCCATCTCATGCCCTTTCATGCGAGTGTACATGTAGATTTTTTTATACCTTACTCATGGTTGAATGCTTTTCTCATGTTGTTCAAACATAATATGTAAGATACTGAGACTGTTGATGGCAAACAGCATAAAAGGTGTGGAACATCTAGTTTAGCATTATTATATTCGCCAAAGGGAGAGGCCTGTGTCCAGTGTACTGTTATGGGCTGACAAAGAAGAAGATTTAAAGATTTGTGTATATGAAATAACCAAGCTGATGTCACAAAGTAAGTTTAAATTAAGGAAAGAAAAGACCCTTTAAAAAGGCCGGTAACGCACAATTCCTCTGTGGTGAGGTTGTTCATGGGTGGTGGTAGTCACTCAATAGCAAATGAGCCGTATAATAGTTTGCATCTTTTTCTTTAAAAACATCGCCATTTTGCCTGCTGATTGAATCACTTCAGGTTATAGCAAATTCAAATATTATATACTAATTCTAGTAGTTTGGATTGTCAGATAATCTAGATGCCTTGGAGTAAAAGTATTGCTATTCTTCGTAATTTAAAACTAAAAAAAAACTTTAAAAGTACAATCACAATACCTTTGGCATTTGGCAGCTGCCACAACGGCGAGGTTGGATACATAGTCAACAGGAATAAGGTCTAAAATGTTGGTGGTCTTACTAAGAAGAATACGATTAAGACCTTTTGCTACGGTAGCGATGAGAGCCGTTGCACCGAACCAGCTATCCAGCCATCCCATCAGTGGTTCACACATGCTTGCTGATACTGAAATTAAAAATATGGTTTTTATTAATTTTGAATATCTACTATTTGCTAATAGTATTATACAATTATTTTACTTTATTTTGGCAACAAACTATTATATTTCTAATATATGGTTTACATTTTACATTAACATATGACAAAAATATCAAATAGTGCCAATAAATCTACATCAACAAACCATCTGGGGGCACGGCAGTGCCCCCGCCAAGACGAGAAAAAAAGTGGCACGGCCGTACCATCCTTTTCTTGAAGCAGTTCAGGCCATTTTCGAAACCCTATAACTTCGTTGTGGATAAAACTAGAAGCCTGAATTTTAGAAGCAAGAAGGCATTGTAAAAACTCGGTATATTTCAAATTTCATTAAATTTGAACCAGTAGTTGAAGAATTATAAATAGTCAAAGTTTCTTAATTTTGCCACTCACTGACTGACCGATCATCAAAACCCTAAGGCAATTCTAGCAGACATAGAAGCTTTAAATTTGGAATGCAATTATTGTTTAGTATATAAATAAAGGAAAAATTAAAATTATTAGCAATTTTATAAATAACTTTGTAATCCCATATAAATATATAGGATTACAAAGTTACATTTGCAGTGAATGAATCAAAGTATGTATATATATGTATAATATAATAGAATAATAGGTGTAAATAGGTACCTAGATATAACTATCTACAAAAGAAATGAGATGCCATCAAAAACAATATGTAAAAAAAAACCAAATCTCGCAAGTCTGTTTTTCTACCGTAAAATTTTGTGAGATCCATGTAATACCAAATCGGTTAACTTATCCTTCTGTCCTAAGTTATAACGTAATTAGCTAACCTAACAACATCTTATAGTGACCATATCAATATTAAAATTCTTTTATGTTTTAAGTAAATAAATTGACTTGGCAATCGCACTAAACAATCTAATTTAATATAATATGTATTACTTGAGAGATACATTGTATTTTCATGCGATGGCCAAGTCAATCTAATTATTGTAGTTTAAGACAGTCGACTCTTGACTTAAATTTTTTATATATGTTGGCATCATCAACATAAAGAAGATGTTTACTCTCATTTAATGTATATCTGATATCATTTATATATAAGGAAAACAGGAGGGGGCCAAGATGAGATCCTTGAGGAACAACTGAAGGTATAGGTAGAAATTTTGAGGTGAATTCTTTAATACAAATGGCTTGACTTCTATTTTGTATTTTAGATTCAATCCATCGGAGAAGTTTGATACGTACACCTGCCTTTGTGAGCTTTGCTATTAGTAAACTGTAGTTAATTTTGTCAAAGGCCTTAGAGAAATCAGTGTACTCCACATCCACCTGTAGATTGTCATACACGGCTCTTTGTAAATATTCCGTGAATGTTATCATATTTGTATCAACACTTCTTTCTGCCATTGAAAAATCCATGTTGTAATTGGGATATATTATATTGACGAGCAGAGAGCTATAAGTAAGTAGGAACAACATTCTCAAGGACCTTCCCCCAGATACATAATTTAGAAATATACGGTTATTATAACACTCCACTTTTGATAGATGAGCGGAAAATTAATGTTACTGGCACAGAAAATTCAGTTGCATATTTTGAAATAAGAAGAAGATGAATAAAGTCGAAATCCGCACTTTTATTGATTTTTTTATAGTATAGGGTGACAAACGAGCACACAATCCATCTGATGGTAAGTGGTTGCAGTGACACATAAATATCTACATCTATCCTCAATAAAGAAACAGCGTTTTCTAAGACTAAGGATTAAGATAGAATGTCTCATTTCAATAAAAAGAGTCTCCGGCTCTTTACACTGACCACACGAAACCCAGCAGTGTTAAACTGCTATTTTACGCTGGTATTCTGTAAGAGCGTGGTCCGTCCCCGGTTGAGCTGACCCATTCGTGCTACAACTATACTACTAATACAGCTGCAGCAGAGCTCTACCACGTGTAAAATATACGTTATATAGACTTTTTGTAATTCTTTAAGAAGTCAAAGCTAATAACAGTTAAATTTATATCTAAAGTTGCTAGTGAACTTTGACTACTTTGGAACTTTGACTGACATTGCTTACGATTGTAAATACCGAATGGAAGTATTTATTAAAAGCATTACAAATATCTATACCACCAGAAATAACTTTAGCTTTGTACACCATCTTTTTGGGAAAATCACTAGTTGCATTTTTTGATTTTAAAAAAGACCACAAAAACTTAGAATGTGTTTAGAATTTTATATTATTTTCTGAAAGTTCAATAAAGATTTTATAACAGACACTCAGCACTTTTAAATCTGCTTCTTAATAATAAAAATGTTTCATAGTCATTCATGTTGCCATATATCATATACCTTCCATTTTTTATAGTATTTACATTTTTCTTTCGATAATTTAACAAGTGGCTTAGTATACCACACTGTGTATTTTGAATTACAATTCAAATTACTAACGGGAACATATTTATCCAAAATATCATTAAGAGAATTATAAAAGTACTTCATCATGAATACCACATCGGTTAAAGAATTAAATTTTAATAAGTATATTAAATTATTCTCTGGGGCTGTTTTACATCTAATTTATGAAAAAGTTTATTGTAAAATAAATGTTTATTTTATTTATATATTATTTACCTTATTCAGTTACAGCCTTTATCAATAAATATCAATCCTTTACTGTGTTTAATTTGCTAGTATTTAAAAAAATGGAGTGTCTAACGTCTTTTGATATGTATTACGCTATTTGTATGATGTAGTTTGCATTATAAATCAGTTTGACATACCAATAGATGGTCTGATGATTATTGTAGGAACATCACCATGTTCTTTATTCACGAGACTTTCCGCCAGTGCTTTAGCGAAGGTATAAGTATTTGGTCTGCCGCCTGAAATGACACCAAAACACTAATTTTTAGAACTGCTATTCTTCAATATGTTTCTTTTGTATTTTTCTAAGTAATTATCTTTTAAATTAAAAAGTAAATTTCACTAATATTCACTTTTTTTTGTTTTTATTATTATATTTGAATAATTATAGGGGAGTTGCCATAGTAGAAATTGTAAGAAGTGGTGACTTATAGTGACCAAAGAGAATCTATTACCATATATAATCTCCATGGTGTAAAAGGCGAGAGGCACAGAAAAGTGAAATAGGAGATAGGCAGCAGCATCTTTTAGATATCAATTCGAAGTAATAAAAAAACAGCGGATTCAAAACGGCTGCCATGAGTGGTAAAAAGAGCAATGTCCCTCTTATAAGGCTATCCGTGGGGGAAGCTTATGACCAGCAGTTGACTTTTAGTAGGCTGTATTGAATGGAATGGAATAGATGACTATTATTGTATAATAGAGACTTTTTTCTAAAATATTTTTATAGAAGAGCGGATACACGAGCATGCGGGTCACCTGATGGTAAGTGTTGACCGCCTCATTGCAGGTGCATTACCACCCTTTTAAAAAAGGGTATGCTCTTTTCTTGAAGGTCCCTAATTCGTATCGGTCTAGAAAAATTTCTGGTGGTAGTCTATTCCACAAGGAAGCTGTGCAACTTCTTGTGAATCACACAGTTTTAGATTGCCTTCTAGAGTGATATGCCTGTAATTAGACGGATCTAAGTAGTTGCCTTTTTTAGGAATGTTTAAACCAAAGCTATATTCCATGAGTTCGGGACTCCGGCTAAAGAGAAGGAGTACCGAAAAAGAGATGTTAAAACGAGCGCCAGCACGAGATCATACGTCTTCAGCACAATAGGTTGGACTCCATCAGTCCCACTCGACTTGCTGACGTTCAGGGAGATGAGTGTTTTGCGCACCGAGCGCTATGTAAACATTACATCTTGCATGTCGTAAGTAGTGAGTCATCTTCTCGGTGTATCAGAGATAGATGACAGAAGTTCCCTTAGACTGCCTTAGAGAGACCAGAATGAACGTGTGAATCGAACTAGTTTCTCAACAATTTTGCCGATGTGCTCTGACTTTGACTTGGCCATTCCCTGAAGTAACACATCAGCGACAGAATTAGCAACAACATTGGGATTATCCGGTGTAAAGCTATTTCACCCCCAAGGGTAGGATGCAAAAAAGAAAGAAAAATTCTGTCCCAATCGGCCGACCTATAGTGCCAAACACGGCAGCAACCTGCAGATCGCAACCGCGATGGGAACGTGAGTGGTATCGTACTCCGGATCAGATAATGGTCCGAAAAGCCAAGAGAGGCATCTACACAGAACTGATATCCGTCTGGATGAGATGGGAGAAAAAAGTCCAACAGTGAAGGTGCATGATCATCCCCATCTAAGATCCGCGTAACCAGTTGCGTCAGTCCATATAACAAGGCGAAGACATAAACAGAATCTATTCGCATGATCCGCTAAACGGGAACCAAGCCATACAGCGTGGTAGGCGTTAAAATCACTGAGCATCATGATCTGTGCGGTTGCGACCTATTGTAGCACGGAGTCTGCAGCCATTTGGACGTGGTCGATGAGTCAGTCTGTATCATCATTACTACTATGGGACCTATAGTGCCACCAGTAGACGCTAGGATGGTCGTCGCTGTCCACGTGCAGCCATAGAATGGATAACTCTTTACCTTCAAGACTGCCGAGGCGTCGAAAATAGATGTCCCCTTTGATTTATATATATCTCCAGCCTAGGGCACAAAAGAGTGTATGCTCCTGGGGTAGTGTTCAATTTAAATCCGCTACTATGTTAAGGGAGGGGAGATCGGGCATCTACGGTCACCTGCATTTACCAGGCGAAACGCAAAAGTAAACTTCCACCATACCGGTTTGAGCCAGCCCATCTATACGACAGCAAAAGCTACCGCGTGGCTCTAACACTGTTAATTAGATGATTTTTCTTAAATTTACAATAAAGTTTGGTTATTTTACTTACAAATTAATCTTTTAACTTGATCTTCATTAGGTACTTCCTTATCAAGAATTCTGTATATTTCATCAATTGAAGCAGGAGATGGGTATACAATTTCTTCCAGAACTTGATTATCTGTGTTAGAGTAAGCCGTTGAAACGTATACGAAAACCTTGAAAAAAAAATTATGATCACAATACATACAATATTAACAGGTCACAAGTAGTTAGGATCAAGGAATACGAGTATGTAAGCAATAGCGCTGTGCCATTTCGGTGTGCCTCAAGGCAGTACGCTAGGCCCGACTCCTTTCTCGCCAATAAAAATGACCTATGTAAGTTGCAGTGCAGTTAAACGGTGTCATCATCGCGATTTTTGCATATCAGTGTCTCCGTAGATATCACCGCCTTTTTGTGCCTGGTCTTTCTAAAAGTAACAAACGATTAAAAAGATTACCTGTACCTAGGGTCAGAACCGTGTTTGCAAGAAGAAGCTACAACTTTTGTGCATCAATGCTTTATAATAAATTATTTAACAAAGTTAAAACTCCTACTGAAAGAAATATAAAAACTGTTATTAATCATAATAAGCAGGAATTTAAGAAACTCCTAAAATTAACTCTTAACGGCTTGATTTACGATGCGACTGAAGATTTGTTCACGAAGATCACTTTACACCGACACACTCACTAACACACACATATACACAAACACACACACACACACACACACACACACACACACACACACACACACACACACACACACACACACACACACACACACACAACTTGGCCTAACTAACATATTTATTTACAATACTAATAAACATTACAATACTTAGACAATAGATAAGGAAGTCTGAGGCCTGTAGCACAGGTTTAACTAACGCAGGCTTTAGAGATTTCATTTAATTTCATACCTCTAGATTTCTACAACAAAAGTCGTTAAAATATTTATTTTGCATTTCTATTAAATATTGGAATTATTTTATAAGTAAAAGTTGAAAGTAGAAGATACAATATATACTATATGTTCTATTGCTGTGCACAAATCTCATTTTATTTTAGGGTTTCTGCCTGCTTGAGTGTTTCCCTTCAAAACTAAGCACGTTGTGAATGAACACTTAAAATTTCAAGTTGCAATTTAATTGTTACTGGCAAGGATTGAACCGCATTTCCTCTCTTTATGTGATATTTACATCGAGCTTATGTAAAATTAATGATAAAAATAAAACCAGTAACAAGCTGCATGTGATGTTTCTTTTACCCATTCAATTATCACACGGTTCAATAAAATTATAAAATTGAGAAGAATGGGAACGACTAATCAGATGGAGAATATGACGATATATATTTCACCAGATATTGGTCAGATGTACCCAAATGGGAGGTAACCTGTACGCCATACCTGTCTAGTTCGGTAGTTGGTAGAAGGTACAAGCAGTTGGCTCTGTAACATTCTGCATCTGGTACCCTAGTCGCTTGCTTTAACAGCCGGGAAAGACCAAGCGTCAAGGCAAATTTCCATGCTTCTCTTCCAGCATGGTCAGTCTTCTGGTATTAAAACAGCGAGTCTTCGTGACAGGTGTTAATAATCTCCAGAAAGACCAGCCGTGCAGTAGGATACCAATTAAGGACCACATCAGCAGCCTCACTTAGGTGATCAAATAATTAAGTTCTCTCCTGCTCACCGCTATGCTATCGATAGACACAGGCATAAAGGATTTTATCAATATCGGTACTACCATCACCCAGATTGTCGAAAAAGTGAGGTCTTCAAGGTGAAGGAAGGAAGGAAACGCTGGAAGCAGATTTCATTACGGATGTTCACATACACTTCGGCACGTAGATGGAATTTCTGCTTCAGGGAGAATCCAGGATAGTCAAGGTACGCCGCATTCAATGGACATCCAATTTGGGTATCCGTCAAGAAAAGTTTTTTCGAGATGATGATGGATTGCACTGAGATTTGATTCGAATATTAGAGAGGTGGAGGTGCACTTTTAATGAGAGGACTTGCAAATGCTGTTTAGTCATACTTTTCTTTTTTAGACACATAAAAGTTGAGGAGTGAATAAGGATGGAGAGTGGCAGTTGAACGAGGCGTTACGTCGGCAACCAAATTATACTACTAGAGCTACTGGGCCCGTGGGAATTTGATCTAGAGACTGCGGGAACTCCCGAAGCCCTCTAGAAATCACCATCTGGTCTAAGATTTTTGCTAGTTAGCGGCGGGGCTTTTTGTGAGTAGCTAATACTATTATATACATATATCTCTATTTAAAAAACCAATTGCTGTCCGTTAGTCTCACAAAAATTCAGAAATGGCTGGACCGATTTTGATGAAATTGTTTGTGTATGTTTGAGTGGGCCCCTGGATGAACAAAACCATTCACAATTGGACCAGTTAGGTGGCGCTATTTTCTAGATCTTGACATAACCCTTGCGTAGCCGGGGCAGAACACTAGTATAATATATTCAGGGTTGGGCCCTAAACTACCTGTGCTCGGCCAGTGGAGCACCGTGCTTCAAATCGAACTACCCTCTACGATTAAGCACCCCATACAGCATCAATTGATTTTTCACACCCGATTCACACACACAACGCTACTGTCCAGCCCTATTCTTCATATGAACATTACAAAAGAGTAACGAAATTAATTTGATACCATCAAAATCCAAAATGAAATGTATCGTCAAATTGGACAACACACCCCAGCAAAGTGTCTTCGCTTCTCTTTAATATAATGGTTTTCTTTAAATTTTCAAAGGAGTTCACTAGCTAGGTATTAATTAATGACTATGTAAATGCTATTATCATTTCAAATTATAACGCTTATTGTTTCTTACTTCGATATTTTTCAAGCGCTTACACAAATTCAGCACTCTTCTTGTTCCTTCAACGTTGGTGTCCATGGCCACTTTCAATGTTTCATTAAATTTAACGTTTGCTGCAAAGTGAAATACGTGGGATACCTGAAATACATTCACATCAGTTTAAATATTCCATCACTATATATTAAATGAGCTTGACACAGATTCCTAATAGCTTGAATGCGACAGAGAGTACAAAATTCCATTTTAGGATCAATATATAAACATAAATGAAAGGGTCAAAACTCATTAAAAGTTTAAAATCAAGGTCAGGTTTGAGTACCGAGATACTCTCCGACGACTTAAAAACATATAATGTACATAACTAGGCATCCACAACATAATAATTCTAGCCAAGTATATGCCATCAAAAACATAACTTGTAAAAAAAAAAACAAGTCTCGCAACTCAGTTCTTCTACCGTAAAAAGTTGTGAGAACCATGTTAATACCAAGTCGGTTAATTTATTCGGTCTCTACTTAATGGTCCTTCTGTCTTAAGTTATTACGTAATTAGCTAAGTTTAGCTAATTACGTTAGCTTGTTAGGTAACAACATCTTATAGTGCCCACTTGAATACTAAAAATCTTTTATATTTTAAATAAATACATTGACTTGGCCATCGCATGAAAACACAATGTATCTCTCAAGTAATACATATTATATTAAATTAAATTGTTTAGTACGATTGCCAAGTTAATTTTTAGAAAGGAAAAGTTATGCTTTGATGGCATCTCATTTCTTTTTGTAGATATTTATATGTAGATACCTGTCTACACCTATTATTCCGTTATGTTACACATATATAGGTACACTGATTCACTCACTGCAAATGTAACTTTGTAATCCTATATATTTATATGGGATTACAAAGTTATTTATGCAGTTGGTGTATCTCAAAAACTGGACTGAAATTGCAAAATATTTTTCCTTGATTTAAATACTAAACAATAGTTTTATTCCAAATTTGAAGCTTCTACGTCTTCTAGAAGTGCCTTACAGTTTTGATGATCGGTCAGTCAGTGAGTGACAAAATTAAGACATTTTGACTAGTTAAAATTCTTAAACTACTGGTTCAAATTTAATGAAATTTGAAACATATCGAGATTATACAATGCCTACTTGGTTACTGAATTCAGGCTTCTAGTTTCATCCACAACGAAGCTATAGGGTTTCGAAAATGGCCTGAACTGCTTCAAGAAAAGGATGATACGGCCGTGCCGCTTTTTTGCTCGACTTTTGCACGGCCATTATTAAAGTTGCTTCAACAGTTCGTAGCTAGTCCAATATTGGCTCTTGTAAAATGAAAATCAATAGCTTCGTCATTCCGTGGGTGTCGTAAGAGGTGACAGAGGGAAAAAATTAGATAGGCAACATATTCTCCCTTATCGAATAAAAAAAAATTACTGCGGCTGCCAACCCGTTTATATAGCGTGGCAACTATAGCAAATATCGCCCCTATGAGGGAATCTATCGGGGATGCCTATATTCAGTAGTGGATTTTAATAAGCTGAAACGGTAACGGAACAACCCACTTTTGTTTCGTTAGTAAAATTAGTGTATTTTTAAAAGTTTTATAAAGTGATATTGTATTTAAATTTTATGCAATAATAAAAGTAAACTTTTAAATATTAAAAAGTAAATCTAGCGAAATAAAGAAACCCCACTAAAAAGAAAAGTAATAATTCAATTATTATAGTATTTAATTAAGTTGATCTACTGCAAATATTTATACCGTGGAGTGTATTTATCAAAGAGAATATAATCACTACGTTTAGTATTTATCGCACGGAGCACAGAGTATTACCGCATAGAGTACCTATGGTTCAGGCAGCATCGTCAATAGGTACGTTAAGCGTTGCGCTAAATGGTGTGAGCTACGAAAGCGTTATAATTGCCTAGGTCTGGGATAACCTCTCCTTAAGAGTACAACTAAAACTTATATATTATATATATATTATAACTTCATACAAAGATTAAGAACCCAGAGGTAATTAAATAGTGATGCTGCATACGATCTATGACAAGGTGATCTACAAGCAGTGCAAATGAATGTTAAAACAAGTATACTTGCACAAGAACTTTCTCATACACCTGTAGGCTATCACACGGAATGCAGGTAAGCTAGACTTGTCGCTGTATATCCGTTTAATTTAGTGTTAGAAAATATGTATTATTACTTTATACTGCTCCTTATATCCTACATATTACATGTATAAGGAGCAGTGTAAATGTATACATATATTTTTTATTATATATTAGCTACCCGGCGCGTTGCTGCCGCTGAAGATATAATTACGAAAATATAGTTTTAATATTGTTTAATTGGGAATGATAATACATTCATTAAAGTTGAATGATTTATTATAACATTCAAATAAATCTGTCAGTATGACAAGCGCGCTACCTACTGTAAGTTAAATGTACTATTTTAATAATTTTATTACCTTTTCTATCAACATTTGTTCGTCTTCTTCTCTCATACCAAGGTTAGGCAGACCTACGTCTCCGGATAAAGCCACAATTTTTTCAAGATTTTCCGGTCTGTCTTTTCTAACTCTATCAAACATCTGTAAAATAAATTTTAAATAATATTTCATGATTGATGTTACAGTAACAATTTAAATAATGCACAAAAATATGTAATGGAGACACGGGAGTACGCCGTCTATCGGAATGTTATCGACTTTTCGATACCAAACCTAGTTCACTATGTGGAAGTAGCATGAGAGAAACCATCATCACATATCTCTCATGGGTATTGTAATAGGCAACAATGGAAAATATCACATTGACTTCATAGCCTCCGATAGACCACATGGTTTATATTCTCGCATATACTAGATGTAAAATTCTCAGACGAGCAGAAGCAATCAAAGATGCGAGATATCTGGCAGTACGACTTCCAATTCGCCTTTCAAATGTGCTACCTAAGGTATCCCTCTTTTGTAGAAGGCCTAATCATTTTAGGAGTTTGGCTGATGGTTAGTTAATGCAGACGATGGACTGGACACCTGCAACAAACTTTAAACAATGTTGCTAATAGATGCGCTATCAAAACTACTAAGATGGAATGCCTTACAGCCATTTATTCGAGTGGCTAATTGGGGAAAGAGAGAGGTAAGTGAGTAACACTTACCCAGATGGACTTCTAGGCAGAAAATAAGTCCTACCACCTAGTATTTAACATAGTTATAAAGAGCAATTACTATAGTTCATACGTGTTATTTGTGTTACGGAGTGCACTCAGTCGATGTTTTATTTAAGATATTGCTTATCTTATATTATCAGCTACCGATAATTAAGGGCACGCAACGGTCTTAACGGTGTAATTTTTTTTTATTTACAACAGTTTGAGATAATATTTTATAATTACACTTTAACAAAATATATTAGTTATAAATTGCTATAGTGCCTTTTTTAGATTATCCATTCAGGCAACTGTACTTTCATATAGAAATGATGATGCAGAGGTTGACTTCTAAAAAATGTTTTGAAGTATATTGCATGTCTTAAACGCAAAGCGCATAAGTATGTTCTACTATCGCCTAACCATCAAGATTCCAACCAATCGTATCTAACAATCATGTTGAACATAAAAATGATATAAAAATACATTGTCAGAAAGATAAGTGATTGTTGAACTTATTAATATTTTTTAATCGAGTTATTGCTGTTTTTACATTAAAAAGAGGTTTTAGTGGCATACGGTGTAGATTTATCAAGTCCGCATGAAAGGTTTAACACGATAACTTTTGAAGTTATCAATTGTTTGATTCAATCTATTTTTTAATCTCTTTATCTTTCATGGGGGAAGCTGTGGAATGTGAATGGCAGTTTAATTTTGTTCTGTTTAGTTATAATTAATTTTTAGGGCTGAGAAATGCCGAAATTTTCCGTGTTTTGAGCAGCCTTGTTATAATTTATTTTACTAAATACACTTTGCCTCACTCGCACTCCGGTCCGGCATCGGCCGCCGTCGTGAATGAACGTTTGCTTACAGAAGCGGTAATAGGCAGCAAAAATATCGATCGCAATAGGAAAACAAAATATTCCAAATAAACTAAATTCACACTTGACCAAGGTTTATTATTTATATAATTACAGATTTATATTACAATATTTTGTTTCGCTATAAGTACATTGTCAGAAAGACAAAGGCCTCGTTTTATTAGTTATGATGAGACCTTACCTCCGGACTTAATAGAATGACCTGAAGGTGACCATTTCCCAGATCGATTTCCCCTTTTAAGAGAGGACAGATTCCACTTAGAGACGACGTCGCCAAGGCGTTCATCACGGCCCTACCCTTAATGATGGTTTTCCCCTACTAGAAACGGGTGTTACGGGCGCTCGGGTCGGGGCCCCCGAACGTCTAGTCACGTAAAATCTGAGAAGGACGGCAATTCAGAAGTGATCTCGAGCACCGTAATAGCACTGTGAGGGTAATGGGGGCAGTAAGGACTGCCCCCTGGGCGTGCTTTAATAAAGCAAAGTGAGAGAGGGATCTCGGTTGGTTTCCGATAGAAAATCCCGGGACCGTATATACGCTGATGGTGAACACCGTGGGATTTTGGCCGGTAGGAGTCCGGCATAACCTTTATGTTGTCCCGAAGAAGAAGGTATCCATAAGGATTACTTTACGATATAAAAAAGAGGCCCCTTTTACTGGGAACGAGGCATTCTGTTTTGGTCCTGACAAGCGTCATCGCATCTTCATTTTCACCGCATGTCTGAGCATGATTGAAAAGCATGCGCTTTGGCGTCATTGGTATGATAATTAAAATCTTTGATGAAAATGGCGACCGAAGAGGCTGTTCAGTATTCTTATTCCAACCACAGGCAGCATTTGCGCAAATATGAACTGTCAGCTCCTAAAATAGTTTTCGTTTTTGTAAGAAAAATGTTAAAATCTAGAATTAATAATCTTTATACTTACCGGGAGGTCTAATAACTGCTTAATTCTTTCAGTAGCGTCCGATTTGTTTTTCTCTCGTATCAGTAGAAATATTTTGTTTAAGTTCGTACAGCTAAATAATAACTTTTCGACGAAAACCTAAAAAAGAAAATTGAATATTTTTTGTAATATCATATTGATAATAAGTTCTAAGAGGCAACTATTAATGGAGATGAGAGGCTTAAGAATTGCATTTTCATATTATGAAGATTGATCACTTATTTAATAAAATATCAGGTTGTCAATATTTCACTATGCGTTAATAGATATAACAAAAGTAGGATACTGGAACACCAGAGATCGAGGTGGACCATGTTGAAGTAAGCCCCGCGGCCGTTTAACCAAAATCCTGACTACTGGATGGAGATAAATCCAAGAAGATCCAGTATCTAAGCACATCAACGAAATGATTATCCTCCATTAGACGAAAACCAGTTTTTTTTTTTAATTATAGTCTTTTAATTATAGTGTATAGTATTTTATAAATTTTAAGTGAACACATGTAATTATCTCAAAGAATGTTATAGATTTATGCTTACTTATTTATATATGTCTTATTTTTACATATGTCTCCTTCTAATGTCATTTAGTGAAAAGGGAGAGAGAGACAGAGGAGCATTAAGCATTTTTAAATTGAATTCGTGTAAGGCTGATGTTGTGTAAGGATTAAGAAGGGAGCTTCATGGCCCAAGACACGTAAACCTCTTTAAAATAACCTTTATTTTAATCCACCATCTGTATATTTGACCTAACATGACGTCTTCGAACGGGTAGTGCTATTGTTAATAACCATTTTGTGGAATTTTGGGTTGACATATTTAAATGGATATATCGTCAATTTTTTTTTATAGAAATATAAGAAGAAAAAAACACATAATCCACCTAATAGTATGTAAATGCTGTGGACGATAATCACGAAAACTGACGTAAAATCATAAACTTAATAATCCTATGCGAGTTGAAACACTAAATATTCTAGTATATTATATTTCTCTGCAGTTATCCTCGTTATGTTTTACTCCAAGGCCGACAATGTAATAAATCAGCATACATTAATTGCGATTACAAATTTGATCGTTCCGGTAAGATTAAAATTGGTTTGCTTACATATTATAAAATAAAATATATCTTCCGAGCAAGCAAAACTCAATCTCTTATTAAGAACACTATATGAATAAACGTGTGTATAAAACATTTAAGGTGAAGTCAACTTATTTCGAGGGGTTCGAAAATTGGTAAAATATTCCCCTTTAGTAAAGTACGAGCGATTTACATGTCCTTTTACTGCAAGACGTTCAACGGTGATCACTTGCCATCACGAGTGCTTTATGTTTATTCGTCTCCTATTCCAAAAAACGAAATCTCTTTATAAATTAATCAATCAACTGTCAAATTTTTATGTTATTTTTGTACAATCAGTGTCAAAAGTAAGGTAGCATTGAAGGTGATCAAATATTTAGAAACAACCAAAGTGATCATTAATATTGAACCATCGAAAGTAGGCAAACAGACAGACAGACAGACAGACAAAAATATTAAAAAATGGTTTTTGTTATAAGTACCATTTATATACTTTCATATGAATTTAATAAAAAGCTGTTATTTTGACGTTAAAAACAGACACTCCAATTTTATTTATTTGTATATATATATGATAATACTTACAGTCACCGTCAGATATAAGGGAGCAGTCCAGGTGTTCAAGCCAAAGTGGTCTTTAATATTCAACCATATATATGGGGCCGTGGTAGCTCAGAGGAGCCGTGGTAGCTCAGATGGTTAGCGCTCGCTGTAAGCTTCACAGTACTCGAGCAACCTGGGTTCGATCCCCGCTGGCACCAATGAAATTGTTAATTGCAATTTTAAGTGCTGATTTACCACGTGCTCGGCGGTGAAGGACAACATCGTGAGGAAACCTGCATGTCTGAGAAATAAGAAAAAAAATATTTCGAAAACGTGTGAAGTTCGCCAACACGCATTAGGGCAGCGCAGTGGACAATTCCTTGCCCTAAACTCCTCTCAGAAATGAGAGGAGGCCTGTGCCCAGCAGTGGGACGTAAATAGGCTGCAACTTTACTTTACTTAGATCACCAATCTTGCTCAAATATATGGGAACATTTACAGCGACAAATATATGGTTTCAGTCAAAGAGTCCATAATAAAGTAACAAACAAAATTGCAATGGTAGCGAAGCAGCTAATAGTATTCAAAAATACAGGACGCGAATGAAATATATTTTATCTTAACACGAAAGGATGCAATCTGTTTTGCTCTAAGTTTTAGTATAAACAATAAATATTTTTCTTTATATTAAATTATTAATGTTTCTTTCAGTAATATCATTTCGCTTATTCTTATCACAGATTAAATAATGTTACTACGTCACCCTTACATCGAACATCATTGAGATATTTTGTCCAGTTTATTATTTGAAAATGTTTTATAATGATGATTGTAAAGGAAAGTTTAAGTTATAAAGTAATTATCTCAGTAAAGTAAGTGGTAGCTTTTCCGTGCTTGATTTGCGTGGAATAGTATAAAAATAAAAATCATATCTATTTTTATAGGATAGGGGGAAAAACAAGCCACCTGAGGCTGTGACCAGATACTGTGGCCCTTAGATATATCCTCAATTACGAATCAAAATGCAGATGTGTTGTCAACGAGGCATTCCACCTTAGTCCCCACACTAAGATGGAATGCCTCGTTTCCAGTAAAAAGGTTCTCCGGTTTTCTACACTCACTATACGAAACACAGCAACGTTAAGCTGATATTGTACGCTGATATTCTGTGAGAGCGCGGTCGTTCACCGGTCGAGCCGACCCATTCGTGCTACAACTATACCAGATATATAGCTGCAACATGACTCTACAACGTATAAAAATTATTTTATACTTATTAATGTAAAAACTCTTAGCATTTTGAAGCGATAATTAATTTTTTTGGCTCAATTATCGACACACATACAAAAAGACTAAAAAATAGGAAATTTCAACCCTATGATACCAGTATAAAATTTATTTTCCAAAAGTGTTCCAGATTTTTTAATACTTTGGCTGCTTGGTTATCATTGGCGTTCAGTTTGTTACTATAATTTTGAACGGTTTAATAAACTGATACGTACATTAGATGTTGAATGTGTTTCGATATATTTAAGAAAGATTGATGTTCATAATAATTTGGCTACAATGTATGGTTAGAATAGAAGTTAGCATAGAATATTTTTTATTTGTAGCCGGTGGAAGGAAAAGGGGAAAGGGCCTCCCGCCGGGCAAGGTGTTCTGCCCGGGGAGCGGCCAACGCTCCGATTGGTAGTTCGGAGCTATTCTATATATGCTGCTTTAACTTCGGAACTTTGTTAGCGCGATTCAGACTTCGACGTGTTTCGCTTGTGGCGCAACGACAGCGCCGCCAGATCAACCCCCAGCTCAGACCGGAGGTCGATAGTGCAGTGCCTATGCAAGTGCCAGGGATTGCCTTGTAGTCTGCGGTGAGTCGAGAAGAAGGCAAGTAATCTGCGAGAGTGCCGTGAAGCAGAGGCGAACAGTAAGGCTCAGAGCCGTGCCGAGCACTGTAGCGCAGAGAGTAGCTTGAAGGAACAGGAAGCATTATTGTTCCGGTGCTGCGATGAACCTTTGTATAGCTAGATGGCTTGCAGAATGTGAAGACTGCAGAAAATATCTGCTCGGGAGCGAATGAATGGGGTACTTCAAGACGATGACGAAGGTTTGAAGTTGTAGTTTCCGAATGTTGTTGGTTGCGTGTTCATATCACGTCGGGGTCACCACTGTAGCCGGTGGAAGGAAAAGAGGAGATCTCCCGCCGGGCAAGGTGTTCTGCCCGGGGAGCGGCCAACGCTCCGAGTGGTAGTTCGGAGCTATTCTAGATATGCTGCTTTAACTTCGGAACTTTGTTAGCGCGATTCAGACTTCGACGTGTTTCGCTTGTGGCGCGACGACAGCGCCGCCAGATATTCAATATTGATTCTTACATAATTCTTATTGAAAGTCGTTTTTTATTTACCACCGGTTTGGAAATTACCTCCGTCCTGGGAAGAACCAGCAAGAAACGCAGCGGGACTTTTTTTTCAAACATATTTACTTAACAATAATTTCGTTTATACAATTTTAAATGATTTTTCATAGAACCAGCATGGTGGCGATCACTTTAAACCCGTGGGTTATTTTCATTCATGTATTCCTTGATATTATTGTAATCCGTTTTGTACAGATTTTCTTTAATAAAACTTTTAAACTTGTTTATTGACAAACTTTGAACATGTTCTGGGATTTGTTTGTACCACGAATACAATGCCCCATAAATTAATTACTGATTCTGTGGACTCTAGTAACTGGCATTACACGTTTTGTTTGTAACTAGTGTTTAAGGTGTGAACATCCTTATTCTTATTAAAGCTATTTATGTTTTTATGTACATACATTACATTTTCATAAATATATTGCGATGCCAAAGTTGATATGTTTATTTCTTTATTATTTTTTTTTCTCTGAGGGACTCTTTACAATTTAGGTTATAAATTGCCCGTACGGCTCTCTTTAGTAACAGAAATATAGCTTCAATATCAGTCGCATTACCCCATAGCGAAATTCCATAAGACATTACGCTATGAAAGTAACTAAAATACACTAATCTAGCTGTCTCAACATGTGTGAGACTTGTAATTTTTCTTACAGCATACGCTGCAGAACTAAGTCTGCTTGCTAATTTAGATATATGGGGGCCCCATTGAAGTTTCAGGTTAAAAGTAATACCAAGAAAAACATTGGTATCCACAAGACTCAACTCCTTCCCATTTAAGAGCAAATTGGTATTCGAATGTTTTACATAAGGTATTGCAAATTTTAAACATTTTGTCTTATTGCTGTTTAAGAGCAAATTATTTGCGTTAAACCAATGTACTAATTTCGATAGAGCATTATTTACATCGTAATAATTAATTGACTGCCGTTTGAGTTTGAAAATTAAAGAAATGTCGTCAGCAAATAATACTATATCGTGATTGTCCCCTACAAGATAAGGCAAGTCATTAATATAAATTAAGCACAGGAATGGGCCCAGAATCGAGCTCTGAGGAACGCCCATTGATACTACCGAGCCGAAAGGACCTTTACCATTAATCACGACATTTTGAGTTCTGTTACTTAAATATGAAGTAATAAGTCTAAGCGCCAAGTTTTTACACCGTAATGTTGTAGTTTCCTGATTAATGTCGCATGATGAACACAATCAAAGGCCTTAGAAAGTTCATAGAAAATACCTAAGGGATCTTGTGAAATCTCTCAGGCATTAAAAATAAATTTCATAAGCTCCACACTGGTGTCAGACGTCGAGTGACCCCCTCGTAAAACCAAATTAGTTTTCATGAAGTAATTTATTTGTATTAAAAAAAAAATCCAAAATTTTTTTAAAATTTGTTTTCAGAGTTGTTAGTACAGAAATAGGTCTCAAATTACCAGGTTTAAATAAAGGTATTACTTTACTATACTTCATTAAATTAGGAAATACATCAGAATCGATACGAGTATTAAAAATAATAGCAAGATGAGGTGCAATTAAATCTATTATGGACGCAATCACTGTAACGGAAATCCCCTACAAATCTGCGGTTTTCTTTACATTAATGGTTTTGAAGTATTTTACAATATCTTGCGGTAATACTTTTTCAAATCTAAATTATTTTAAACAGGTATTAATATTCTGTTTGGGTAGTAAATCGGTGACAGTTGGAGCAGTATTCAATGACTCTGTTGTCAAGAGAGGAACATCAGTGAAATATTTCTCGAACACCACTGCGACTTCTCGATTTGATTTAGTCAATTCATTGTTAATTTTTAATTGATAGTTTGAGTTACGAGGTTTCTATTTACCGGTTCCGCTGTTAATTATACTCCACGTCATTTTAATTTTATTCTTAGCCGTCTTAATTTTGTTGCTAATATGTAATGATTTGGCTGTGGAGCAAACTCTTTTAAACATTTTAGAATAATTTTTGACATATTCTTTAATAGCATGGGAAAGATATATGATCTTTCATTGTTAAGGTCATATAACCTTCGTCTGCTTTTATGAATTCCTACTGTCACCACTCCTTAAATGCCTTGCGACTGTTTCTGGAGAATGTTTTAGAAGTAAATGTTTTATTAAATTCATTGCTGTTTTTCTCCATATAAATAGTCTGCATTGTTCTTATAAGAAAGCGGTGGAAGGTTTTTTTACCATAGTACTTCTAAATCTCTCTAGGCGTTTTTCATTAATAGGAACAAACACAATTGTCTCAATTACCTGTTTTTTGTGCATATAAGGTAAAGAAACCAGTTTTCCACAGTCATCTGAACTAAGTTTTTGATTTATTGATTTGTTGAGTGATACAACACCCGTAAAAATATTATCAATACAAGTTGCACTACACCCTGCAATACATGTAGCTTCAAATAATAAATTATCAAGATTATAGGATTTGAACAAAGAGCAAAATATAATACTGATGAAAGAAGTTTCCAGGAGATTAATATTAAAGTCTCCACACACTAAAAGAGATTTATTCTGTTTATTAAGCTTAAATAAAACTTCTTTTATAATTTTTTCAAAGGTATCATAACTTGAACATGGAGGTCTGTAAACACTAACAATAATAAGGTGCTCAAGCTCAACACGTGTCATTTCTACAGTACGCTAAACAGAGAGGCTCACAATCTCTTTTCGTTCTTTACATGATAAGGATTTGTTAGCTAATATTAGGGAGCCACCACGTAATATAGTATCTCTATTGAACGAAGTGACCACCTTGTGATTACTGTAATTAAATATGGAATTGTAGTCTTTCAACAAATGTTCAGTAACACATAAAATATGAATAAGTTTACTATTTAAAAATAATTCAATATCTAGTTCTTTGCCTAAAATACCTTGAATATTTTGATGCACCAGGTTAATACAGTTTTTATTATTGCTTTTTGGTGAAATTACACAGTTAAGTATTGTTGAGTTGTATTCTGATGTATTTAAATAATATTTGCTAGAGATTACCCCTATTGTCTTATTATCTAATTTAAATTACTTGGAACTGATTCCAAATCATTTGTAAAATTATTTTGCTGCTCAATAAAAGCAAGTGTCAAGGTAACCAAAAAATTTGGCTGGGTTAAAATATAAATAATAAGATAACTTTAACCACATTTACGTTAAACAGGTTGAATATTAATTATCACTTTGGCTTGAACAACTTAACTGCTCCCTTATATCTGACGCTGACTGTAATTATTTTAATATATATTTATAAACATATTACAATTTAGTATTAATCTGTATATAAATTATGCAAATAAATTGATTGATGAATTGAAATAAAACTAAATGAAGAATTATTTTTGTATAAAATGCTACTCCGATGTATAGTGGGATATATAAGGTTTTATAAACAGTTTATTCGCGGTACAGACAAATGTAAAATAAAGAGTTCAGTATTATTTTACGCAGCTCGCTAAGCACTTGTTTGATTTGATTATAGTTGTTCTTAAGAAGACGAAGGAAGCCCAACTATTAATATGTATTCATCCGTAGGTGTCGTAAGAGGCGACATAGGGGAAATGGGCTAGGCTTCATCTTTACAATGTATTATATGAAACTAATTTTTACGGATATTATCGCGTTTAATTTAACTTTTTTAATTCCCGCCATTCGGGTGCTTTACAGCACAGTGAGTGCTTTACACACAGTCACGGGGGGGGGGGGACTGGCCATGGCTCATGGCTGCTGTAAAGCACCCAAAACGTCGAGAGTTAATAAAATAAATAATTGAAAAAATCAAAAACCAGACTGCAAAGACAATTTAAAATTAATGCACTAAAACGACCGAAACAAGATTGATAATAGAATACATAATTGAAATAAAGTATTAGCAAAGTAAACTCTACTACGGTTTAACAGACTATACTATGAGCTGTGAAAGATTACATTTAGAAGAATAAGTTTGACTGCTTGGTACTACATTTTTTGAAAATGACGCTATGGACCGTGGTTTCCAAATTTGTTTCGGGTCTAAATATCGTTCATATCTACTTTACGTTAATGTTGAGCATAACATATTTATTGAAATATTTCAAGTGTAAGGTTAATATAATAGAAAGAAATAAGACATACTACCTTTCCCAAAAATCCAGTACCACCGGTAATGAAAACTGATTTACCAGCATAGTGTCTTTCTATCGATTCGTAAGTGTCTTCGGTTCCAACCGGATACTCCATTGTCTAAACAGAACAAAAAAAGAGATATATATCAAATTTTCTGACGTTTTTTAAATCTGCCGTATAGTGGCAACGTAAGTATATCCACTACCTCATATTGTCCCGTGGGCGACAGAGAGAAACAAATCAGGAGATGGGTAGCGTCCTCCTAATAACGACCAAACCGGTTGCGAACCTGCTTGCCAAGCGTGGCAACTATGATTAATATCCCTCCTATTAGGTAATCTATGGGGGAGGCCTATGTTCATTAGTGGAGATTAATAGGCTGTAAATCATTACAGCCTATTAACCTCCATTGCGTTACCCAACGGTTACTTAAACATAACTTTACGTGGTAGAGTAACACTACAGCTACACAACGGGGAAGGTTCACATTCTTACAAAATACCAACGTAAAACAGCAGCTTAATGCTGCTGTGTTTCTTATAGTGAGCTTAAAATACCAGAGATTCTTTTGACTAGAAACGGAACTAACGATAATAGCATACTCATGGATACATTTCGAAGAACGCAAAAATATTTGTTTTGGCCAGGTTTGGAAGGAAAACTGGAGATCTCCAGCCGGGCAAGTTATTTAGCCCGGGGACTGACCAATACTCTATGTGATATTTAGAAGCTTTTCTATATTTAGCGTGTTAAATTAAGAACTTTGATAGCGCAATATAGGCTTTGGTGCGTTTCGCTTACGGCTTGATGACAGCGCCACAGTAGTGGCCACAAAAATTGGTAAATGCTTTGAATAAAACTATACATACCGACGTTGCACTTGCTTTAGCGCCTATAGTCACGGGGGGGGGGGAGGGGACTGAGACGAAAAATAAATATTAAAAAACTGAAGGTAGCCGGGCTAACTATGGCATCGAGACGTCAAATACCTCAGTCACCCCGTGACAGTGGTTGCTCTAAATTAAACGCGATAAAATCCGTAAATATAGTTTTATTCAATGTGTAGTATTCCCGTAATTATAAGAAATCATTAGTAAATGCTATTAAAAAAATGAAGTTTTTAATGTTTTTATTTTCGAAATTCATTTGTACATAAAATGTAATTAGTGCGTAATATTGCGTTTTTTCATACTGCGAAAAATTTAACCTACCTTTGAAGTTGAGTTTAAAGAACAATGGCAGACTTTCATACATAAAATTAGTTGAGAAGGAATGGTAGCGTCTATATATCAAAAATATCTTAAAATCTAAAACGTCAGTCCCTTAATAACCGCTCCGCGATGTTAGCACCTCATGTGCGGAATTTCGATTGACCAATTATACCATCTGAAAGGTCAGAAATTGGTCATAAAAGGTCAGTCGGTATTATTAATTGGTCAGCGTTAAATATATTTTTATTAAGGTTCAAAGTGTTTTAAGGTCATTGACAAATTTTAGCACCTCATTCGCAAAAAAAATGAAAAATTAAAAAGTAGTGCGATCGGGAAGCATTCGCTGATAATTGGTCAGCTTATATAAATATTTGGTCAGTTTAATTTAATATTAAAAAAATTAAATAACTAGAGCTCCGCGATGTTAGCACCTCATGTGCGGAATTTCGATTTACCAATTATACCATCTGAAAGGTCAGAAATTGGTCATAAAAGGTCAGTTGATATATTTTTTTTTCAATATTAAATTAAACAGACCAAATATTTATATAAGCTGACTTATTATCAGCGAATGCTTCTCGAACGCGCATATTTTTTATTAACTTCCTTCTGCGTAGCATTGAAAGGAAGTTAATGGTTTTAGCTGGCAGTCTGTTAGTCTGTATGCCGACACGATAACTTCCGTTCCACTGGACCGATTGACTTTAAATTTGGTATGAGGATACCTTGAGGTAGTAGCTCGGTCAAGTTTGAATTTGGGTCCTGTAGGTCAAAGGGCACCAGAGATATGAGATTCACGCAGAAGGAAGTTGTTTTTCTTGAATTTACATTCAACTCGTTTTTTTCGCGAATGAGGTGCTATAATTTCTCAATGACCTTGAAAAACTTTAACCCTTAATAAAAAAAATTCTAACGCTGACCAATTAATAAGACCGACTGACCTTTTATGACCAATTTCTGACATTCCAGATGGTATAATTGGTCAATCCAAATTCCGCACATGAGGTGCTAACATCGCGGAGCTCTTAATAACTCTGTCAAAGAATTTCCTGTCCTGTGGTTGTTTGATGTTAGCTTAATACATTTTCAACATAATGTACCTACCTACATAATTGAGAGTTTTTAGATTATTGTATCTCTATTATATATTTGCATACTATAAATGTATATTTATGGCATGACTCTAGGGCCTTTGTATCATACAGTGGCATTCTCAGAAGGGCTTGAACCCAGAGCCGTAAAGCCAGTAAAAAAAACAGTGACATTTTGTTTTAGTTAGTGCTGCCATAACATTAAATAGAAGTTTAACAAAGTACAATGATTGAAATAATGTATTATTGTAGGAAGTTCTTTGTAAGAGACTTATTTTCAACCATTTCACTTTTATTTTTATTACTACTGATAGTATAGTTGTTACTAATAATAATTTAATATAAAAATATTTTGAGTTTGTGTGTTGTGTTGGTAGTCTTACAAAGTTATACGAAAATAGTATGAATATTATAAATGTCAACACTGGAATAGAGTAAAATGATTTAAGTGGGTTTTGGCGGGAACTTGATCAGCGGCGGTTTGCTGCTCCTGTATTATTGTTTAAATAATGGTTTGAAGTGGACTTTGATATGTAAAAGTGGTGCGATTTTGTGTATTAATTGTCTACGCATGTGAACTATTAGTGGAAACAGTGAAACAAGTGCTCTGATGGTGATGGATTCTCAAGATAAGCTGTTTGTTTGCATAGGCGCCTTGAGATACCATCGCCAACTATCAGCTGTCTGCTGGCTCAAGTTGCCGTCAAAATCTCTCAAGGGCTGCACAATGTGACGCATCAACATATTGTGAAGCAGTGAACTATGAAGGATAATTATTTATAATAAACCGAATAAAAATACTCAAGACTTGGCCTAAAGGTCTAGATACCAGGCCATAAACTCCTATAAAAAAATGATTTAAGTCATTTGATATTCCCAAAAATGTTTGTTTTTTTCTGAGGCTTTACATAAAAAAAATGCTTTAAAATACATTTTATTTGAAAAATCATAGAAAAATAATAAGACTCATTTTATGTATAACTTATTTCTAGACGCAATAATTTTTGTCAACTATTTTTGTGCCATTGTTCTTTAGGTATTGTTTAAATTTTTGCCTTGACTGCCTTGTTTATCGTGTTAAATGTAAATTTTACTTCAAATTAACTGATAATCTAAGATCTAAACGCCACTCAAGTTGTTAGGGCTGATACTTTTTTGATAGAAAATACATAACATTATGAGTATCAAAATCTATGGTACACCGAGTTGTTATCGGCAGATCGGCACTTTTTTTGCTTCATGCCATCTAGTAGCTCGCCAGCTAAAAAAATTAAATCACGAAGCTTAGAGTCAAGTTGCATTCACAGATGAGTCCAGATTTTGCCTGAAACCAGATGCTCGAAGGATTAGCGTGAAGACGCCTGAGAGAGAGGTAGGCTTAGTGCAATATTCGTTAATTTTTATCATATGATAGTTAGTTTTTTTGATGTTTGCAATTTTAAATAAATGAATAATTAGCAATCTAAATTAATAAACTTAATTGTCACAGATATCCATGACATTTTGTTTTATACAAATTTTTTTGCGTTCCTCTAAATTTGTCCATTAGTGTATATTCAAATGCATTTTGATAAAAAACAGAGTCGCTACGTAATCACATATATTTATTCTGTAGTGACATAACAATGACTGTTTTCGGTGGTCTCGTAGTCTCGTAAGGGTGACTGCTAATTATCTTAGCTTCAAATGCCGGGTCGAGGCTGAATCAGTTATTAGGGTTTTCTGTAAAGAAATTTTCAGTAGCAGCCCGGAGTCAGAAGTTGGCAAGACCCTTGCATAAGCAAGTGCTTTGTTCTTCTTGTGCCTGAACTCCCACTCGTTATGTCGGACTGCACGTCCGGATGAGTCACGGATGTTATGAGAGTGCACTATAATTCTGTCCTGCTCAGAGTCTAGTCTCAGTTAATACTGGCTGCTGCGACAAAATTCGATATGAGGGGCATTATTATTATTATTATTGTACTACACTCAAAATAAAAACTGCCCGTTCTTATTTGCAAATGCAAATAAGAACGGGCAGTTTTGATTTTAATCCTTACTGAAAAAAATTAAACATGAAAATGGTTTTAATCATTTTGATGATGTTACTGGCCGTTTACAAAAGTGCCCTGATGTTTAAAAAGTACGCTAAAAATTCAAGTTTTAGCCTGAGCCAGCAGTGATTTCCATAGTTTGGTCGTCCGAGACAGAAAATTCCACATGAATCGCACACTAGTGGAATGCCAGCAATTGAGATGATGAGCATGGAATTTCTAGCTCTGTGGCAGTGTACGATGCTGTTAATCAGTAGCTGGAATTAATCTGAAGGATTTCTTTGAGCATCGAGGCTGATATATGCGGTAAAGGGTGCATAGAGAGCAAAGTCTTTTCACAAAGCCAGTGGATCAAGCCGATCAGAAAGAACTTGATCGTTGACGATTCGGGTCTCTCTCCATTGAATATCGTCAAATGGAAGGAACCGATACTTGGGTGCTTCGGCCCAGAGATGAGAAGAGTACTCCAAGTTTGGCCAAACCTGCGCTTTGTAAAGCAGCAAGCGGCGTACCGGCTTGAAATACTTTCTCGATCTACTGAGCACAACAAGCTTATGTGATGCGAGTTTAGCCTTCCTTTCCAAGTGACTGCGGAATTGTACGTACGTCAAAAGTTCAGATGCTGGCAGAAGCAACGATGAGAGTACCCTGAAATTGAGGAAATATGACAGAGGCGTTCTTTTTTGTTTAAACGCACAATCTTGTGTTTTTGGGGGTTAAATTGGACTAGATTTAGTCGCCCCCAACTTTGCTCAACAAAGTCTCGACTTCAGACACAAGATGTGTTCCCGAGAAATATTAGCACGGCTAGCGTATAAAACATCACCAGTACTGTTGTCTGCATAACAATGAATGTTACTTGTATGCAACATATAATTTATATGCAGAAGGAACAGGGTAGGCGATAGGATGCAGCCTTGTGCCAAACTCAGGAGGAAGGTCGTTTGAGCGTGGATGCTCAGTAAGGGATTCTTCAGAATTATCAGTGCTGGTACAATCTACCCCAGGATTGTTTTAAACACCGTTTTAATTTTTTGGGGGGAGGGGACGAGATAGACTACCGGATACCTACATTCACCAGGCAAAACGCAGAAGTATAAATTATTCTACTTCACGCTAGTATTCTATAGTGGTACTAACCCGAACGAGCCGAATAATTTATGCAACAGCAAAAGCTGTTGTGTGGCTTTACAAAGTAAGTACTAATACATCTCACGTGATTTACGTGAGATGTATTACATTGTATTACAGTTGTTACAAATCAATAAATAAAAAAATATTATTGTTTTATTATAGTTATTTGAAATTAAATCAATGGCAATATTATGTAAATGCAATGCTAATACTTATTTATATTTATTTATGATATATTTGCACAGCAAGTAAAAAAAGGCGGACTTAATATAACAGAAAATTCTCTACCAGTTGTGAACACAAGTGAAGTTAAAAACAGGTGATGTAACAAGTTAGATCACGTGTTCTTGTGTTGTGATGTGATCTTAAAACATTAAATTACCTAGTCAGGTCATAACTATTGTCACACAGTAAAAACTTTTCTTTTAGAATGCTGGCCACAAAAAAGTTTATTGAATTTGAATTTCGAATTGTTCATGAAAATAAAACTGTATACTTTTTAGAATTTTACTCATTTTTAAATATAGAGTGGACGCTTAAAGAAGACCGTGTTGCCGTTATTGCGTTGCATCGTTGCGGTTACGCGCCATTTCAAATTTTTGACATACTGAAAAATTTGAATATAACCAAAAGATTCGTTTATTGTAACATCAAACGATACAGTGAAGACTGTAGTGTAGATGACAGGTCAAGAAGTGTTCGCCCTCGGTCTGTTAGTACTCCAGCAGTGATAAAAGCCGTGAAGGCGCGAATTCAAAGAAATCCAAAACGTAAGCAGAAACTGTTGGACCTTCAGACAGGGTTAAACAGATCCACGGTGAAAAGGGTGTTAAATTAAGATTTAAAGCTTCGGTCATATCGAAGAAAAACAGGACATCGTTTGAATGCTCGTCTAATGGACCTGAGACTGAAAAGATGCCGCGCTTTATTGAAGCGGTACGCGGGAAAAAAATATCGGGAAATTCTTTTTTCGGATGAAAAAATTTTTACCGTAGAAGAGAGCTACAACAAACAAAATGATAAAGTGTACGCACACAGTAGTGAAGAAGTGAGAAACCGTATTCCGCGTGTCCAACGAGGTCATTTTCCATACTCGCTCATGGTATGGTTGGGAGTTTCTTATTGGGGCTTAACAGAGGTACATTTTTGTGAGAAACGTGTAAAAACGAATGCAGTTGTGTATCAAAATACAGTCCTGACGAACCTTGTGGAACCTGTTTCTCATACCGTGTTCAATAACAGGCACTGGGTATTCCAACAAGATTCGGCGCCAGCTCATAGAGCGAAGAGCACACAAGACTGGCTGGCGGCGCGTGAAATCGACTTCATCCGGCACGAAGACTGGCCCTCCTCCAGTCCAGATTTGAATCCGTTAGATTACAAGATATGGCAACACTTGGAGGAAAAGGCGTGCTCAAAGACTCATCCCAATTTGGAGTCACTCAAGACATCCTTGATTAAGGCAGCCGCCGATATTGATATGGACCTCGTTCGTGCTGCGATAGACGACTGGCCGGGCAGATTGAAGGCCTGTATTCAAAATCACGGAGGTCATTTTGAATAAACTTTAGTGTCATAAGAATCTATGTTTTGTTAAGTTCATTTTGGTATATAAATGGTTACATAATGAATAAACTTGTTTCAATAATTTTATATTAAACATGTGACAGAATTTATGACCTGACTAGGTATATATGTGTATTTGTATATATAGTATTTGGATATTTAATTTATATATATATATATATATATATATATATATATATATATATATATATATATATATATATATATATATATATATATATATATATATATATATATATATATATATACAATTAAATATCTACATATTAAAAACAAACTAGTTACAAATAGTAGGACGGGCTGACAATTATTTTATAAACTAATTTTAATTAACTTAAGTTGTAAAAAACTCGCCAAGTGTATGTTGGACCACGTACAATGTAGAGGTAGGCTTCCGTAGTTGCCCGTCACAATACGTACACTTCCTTGATAATCAGCATAATAAGTGAGTTGGCGATTTGACTGTTATGACTAAAAACGGGCCCTAATAGGAAGATGGTAACTCAAGGATTTATTTTCAAAATCTAATCTAATCTAATCTAAATCCGACTTATAGTATTTATACTTACTATCCGAATTATTCTTCAAAAAAGATTAAAAAACTTATCGATTTTGAAAATTTTATAATTTACATCAAACCATTTACATGCCAAGTCCGTACAAAGATGGTCACAGTTAACAATCTATTACTCCTGGAAGTGTAACCGTAAGATATTATATATGATCGTAACGATCCTTCCCGTAAACCACTACTGCCCTACATTATCCTGAGGATCACATTTGTAAACCAAGAGTGGGACGAATGAAACTGTATGAGGCTAAATGATTGTATGAATACTTTGAATGGGGCTCACAATAACTACCAACTAAAAAACATGCAAAAGTAGGAAGTAAGTAAGCAAGATCCTCCCTGTCTATCCTGCAAATTAATAAGTAAAGCTATAGTAGTAATGCATAAGTCGTTTTTTTCATATAATTTATTTTTTATTTATGATTTATTTCTTACATTGTATAATAATATTACAAAGTTGTAATGCAGCTAGTTTTAGGTCATTTTCTACGGAATTGTAACAAAGTTTTTACTAATTCAAGTGCATTTTATAAGTTGGTCGACGATTACTTGTTAACGTGTTAACTCTACTTAGCTATGATAGTTTTTGTTTTAACTAATTTTATATCTTGCTATCATGTATAAATTTCACATTTTCAAAAAACAGGGGCTTATAATAAAAAATACCAATTTAAAACTAAATATTTCGCAAACGGACCCCTGAATCCAAAAGATGTTGTACTACAGTCCCATTGTTTTTGTAAGCCCTGTCCGATGATACCACCGAGAATACCATCGTTGGTATCGCTGGATGAGTAATAGAAAAAAACGTTCTTTAATATTTTATTTCATAGTCTTGTAGACGTAATTACTATATATAACTATGCTAAATTACAAATTTGTAGCACCTAGGGTCTCTGAGTAAAACCGCTCCGATCAAAACTATAAGGGTTCCTTGTTGTCTAACTACGGAACCCTAAAAACGAGAAGTTTCTAAAATCAAATTATATATTTTTTATGTATGCTCACTGAATTCCGGGGAACCATTTTAATTTTTTTTAATAAATAGGTTATGCTTCAGTAGGCGACATCGAAAAGTAAAAATAATAAAATGATTTCTACACTAGCTGATACCCGTGACATCATATATGTATCACTGGAACACGTAGTCCTTATAAACATCGTTTTCTTAAAACGTTATAACTTTATAATAAATGAAGATATTTCAACATCATTTTTTAAGATAAGGGCCTAGTATCTAAGAAATAATACTGAGAAAAACTAATTAATGATGCGCACACAAGTGCAAATCTCTATCATCTTCTGATATCTAGGCTTTTATTTTTCGTTACACTAAGTCTTATCATCGATAATATAGGGGAGATTTTTTTTGTAACTTATAGAACCTACATTTATATAATAATGGAATCGGTTAAACCGATTTAAATATCCAAGGTTTATTATATTAATGATCATATTATCGAATATAAAACTTTCTTGCTTTTGAAATCGGTCAAAAATCAGCTCACCTATCGATACCGAAAATGTAACTTAAATTAATATTTTATTAAATTAAAACTGAATTTATTTACGTTCCACTAACAATTTTTCGCTTCGTAATCTAGCACATTCATACTCCTTCTTCAATAAATCATTTTCAGTACAGCTGTAAGCTTGTAAAACTCGTTGCCTTTATATATTCGAAGTGCTCACTCCCTTTTTACCTTCAAAAATCTACTCAAAACTTATTCATTGGAACTAATATTTCCCGTCATAATTCGCGTCCTTAATTTTATCTATCCTACCTATCATCTCAACCGTCATTATCTTGTATGTATTTATATATATTTTTTAACTTAATTGTCGATTTTATGTACACTTTCTCTGTTTGCAATTCGCTGTAAACAACAGTTCTTTGGTAAATAAGGGTTGTCTCAAAAAAATCGCGTCCATAGCGATAAGACCGCCTATTGTACTTTCTACATATTTATTTCATTTAGTCTCGTTCTAATGTGTATTGCTGTACAATAAATAATACAACTGATTGTTTGATTAACTTTAATATAATTTAACTGAAATCACTTGTTATCACTATCATCATGACAGCCCTTTACAAGTCCGCTGCAAAACACAGGCCGTATAATCTATAGGTATATCCATTAGAACAATAATATTTTGTTAATATAATAATATTTTCCCATTATTGCTTTTATAAATAAAAAAAAAACATAAGAAGCATTTAACTTAAATATATTATGTTACATTAAAATCTCATTTCTACATAAAATACAGTATTTGCAATATTTTAGTAGTTTAAAATAATTTAGTATAAAACAATCTAAAATTATTACATACCTTACAATTTCAAATTTAAGCTTTCCGATTCACAAGTAATCACAAACCACAAAACCCGTAACGATATAGACACTGATAATTGTAGATAAACAATTTAAACAAGCGTCTCTGAAGAGCGACTTGATCAATATGAAACAGTTCGTTCTTAAATGATATAAAGGATAAGTGTTGATCGTTAATGGTAAGTATATATACTGATTTTTAAGTCATCAGAAAAAATTCATACTATTCTTGGGTTCTCTCTCTACTATATTTTTACATTACAATTACATTTTAGACATTCATTAAATTGTTAATATGTCGTTATAAATATTGTGGAAGTTAAGATTACTGTGATTCGTATGACGAATGAGGGAAATTTGAGACCCTTTTCAACCGACTTCAAAAAGGGGGAGGTACTGAATTCGACTGTATTTTTTTCTCTTTTTTGGGTGTTACTTAAGAATTTTTTTCTACGTGAACCGATTTTGATGATTCTTTTTTGAAAGCTGGTGCTTCTCATATGGTCCAATTTATACTTACTTATCTTCACGCACAATCCCTGACGGGGTAGCCAGAGAGAACAGATCGCCAAGTGTCACGATCCTTACAAACCTCTTTCGCTTCTTTCAGATTCATTATCTTCTTCATGCATGCACGTCTAGGTATCCGAGTACTTTTGACCCTACCCTCTTCGAGCAATTTGCTCACATGGTCTTCGAAAGTTAGTCTCGGTCTACCTCGACACCTTTTAATATTAACTTTCGCGCTATATATTTTCTTCACCATTCGGTCTGCACTCATTCGCTCAACGTGCCCAAACCACCGAAGCACGCCCTTATCAATTTTTGTGATAAGGTCATCTTTCAAACCTGCCATATTGCGAATCTCTTCGTTTCGCTTTCGGTCGGCCATGGTAACGCCGCACATTTTACGAAGAGATCGCATCTCCACTGCATTCAACTTACTTTTATGCTTCTTCTGGCATACCCAGGTTTCGCTGCCATATAACAAAGTCGGTACCAACACTGCGTTATGTATTGCAAGGCGTGCACTCTTCGCTACGCCTTGCCTTTTGACTAACGCAGTCAGGGCACCATTGACTTTGTTCCCGGCAGCGACACGCCTGTCCACATCTAAATCACATCTTCCATCCCGGCTAAAAGCACTCCCCAAGTATATAATTTCATTTACCTGTTCTAGACATTCCTGATTTACCCATATTTCACACTTCGTTCTCTCTTCGTCCCTTTCAAATACCAGAACCTTAGTTTTATTAGCATTCAAACGGAGACCTTTAATTTCACATTCCTCTTTCATACACGTGACTAATGCCTGCAGTTCTGCCTCTGATGGTGCAATAAGCACTGCATCATCAGCATACAGCAGACAATTTACTTTAATGTCACCCAATTTCACACCCAAACAACTATCTTTCAGCTTCTGTAAACAGCTGTCGAGATACAGTATGAACAGCCAGGAAGACATGACACAACCCTGCTTTACGCCCGTTTGGACGTCAAACATGGGTGACAGGTCATGCCCTACCCGCACACAGGCTTTACAGTCACAGTAAAGAGACTGCACAGCCCTTAGCAATCGACCATCCACACCATACCCCGGCAACAGTTCCCACATTTTCTTCCTTACAACCTTATCAAATGCTTTCTCAAGATCCACAAAAGCACAGAAAATCTTCTGGTTAGCAGCCAGAAGCTTTTCCGTGATCATGCGGAGAGAAAACATTTGATCCGTGCATCCTCTTCCAGGTCTAAATCCGCATTGTGCCTCCCATAGAAATCTTTCCGATTTCTCTTGCATCCTACGTGTCAAAACCTTCGAGTAAACTTTACTTGCTAAACTGGTCAAGCTGATCGCCCGATAGCACCCGCAGTCAAAATGTGAACCTTTACCTTTATATAAAGGCACAATGACTGCGGATCGCCAATCATCCGGGACATCCCCCGTCCGCCAGCACAAATTGCACAGCAGATGAAAGCTGTCCCAGACGCGAGGCCCACCATACTTGACCATTTCAGCAGTAACTCTGTCTAGTCCCGCAGCCTTACCACATTTCAAACTTCGAATCGCACGTTCAATCTCTTTCATACTGATGACCTCCGTGTCATCGAGGTCCGGGTCTGGCGTACCAGTCACGGCGTCATCCCCGGATCCCTCACTAAGATCATCATATGCATACATTTCTCTATAAAATTCGCTCCATCGCTGCATGACGTCCGATTTTTTTGAGAGGACGTCATTAGTTCTCGAAAGCACTTTGTTCATTCTTAAGGCTGTCGCACCACTCCGGGTCCTTCCAACCTCTTTCCAGAAGAGTTTGGAGTTCTCCTTAAAGTTGTGCGACAACCTTTCGTCCGCTTCCATTCTACACCTTTCACGCACTTCCTCAATCAATGCTTTCGTGTGAACTTTCTGCAGCCTATATCTTTCTTTCATCTTCTCTCTCATATCCTTATCATTACTAGAGGCCAAGTAGTCTAACCATGCTTTCTTCTTCTTTTTTACAGCTTCTTTCACTTCATCATTCCACCATGCATCTCTTCTTTTACTACTGCCTCTTTTTATTGTTCCACACACTTCTTCCGCTGCACTTACCATTCCATCCCTAAGGTTCTGCCAAGTTCTTTCTACACATTCTTTTCTGCCATCGATGGTGTCAAGCTTTTCGGCTACCCTCGCATGATATTTGTCCCTAGTATCCGCTTCCTGAAGCTTCCAGCTTCGGATGCGACAGACCGACTGTGGTTCTGTTACTGCCGTCCGGTAGCGCCAACCCGCGAACAGACCCCTAAATCTAGTAATCACTAGATAGTGATCCGTTCCCAGGTCAGCACCCCTGAACACTCGCGTATCCATCACCTGTTTT